GGAGCCGCTGCCACCACAGTGCCCTCACTGTGTGCTTTCAACCCTGGTGGGTGGTAGCAAGGGCCTGTGCCCCTGGATCACTTTGGTTGTGGGAACTGCAAACTGGAATTCTGAGGAATTGCTCTAGAAATAGACCTGAGTGTGGCGATACCCTTTCCTCTTTAGCAATGCTTAAGCACAAACTGTCTTGATAATCAGGTAACCTTTACGTGTAAGTAACTTCAGATTTCCTGGGTGGGAGGAGCATTATATTTAGGGAAAAAAGCTCCTATTTGGAGGCAGTGTTTCATGAAGGCAAGCCCGGTCCTCTGGGACGTCCAGCCGCGGTTCTGCCATGAAAGAGCCCGTGACCTGGGGAAGTCAGGTCAGCTCTCCAGGCCTCCGTGTCCTCACCTGTTTAAATAGACGTGAAAAGTGTGTTGGAGTAGGAAATAGTCTCTAATTTTTCTTCCCGCTTCAAAGTTTGAAGATTCTATGGCCTCTGAAACTTACTCTCCCAAACCCTTAAATTGTCTCTAGTAAAACTTAAGCAGAATGCAACCGTTTAATAATATGCTGGAAACTGCATTTATAGTTCTGCTTTATTAAGAGGTTCTGATGATGTTTGATTTATAGGTACACACACGTATAATTGTGATACATGTATGTGTGTATATAATACGTTAATTATATTATACTAATTTTACGACATTTTATATATTATACTATATATTAATGTACTGTGTTATGTTATATTATGTATTGGTATCGTGAGTGCTGATCTGATCCTCTCGGTGGTTGCAGTTTATAGAAGTAAAACACAAACATATTTAAACCAAACCAAAAATACAGGTTAACAGCCCAGAGGGCTCTCCATTTTGCCAGCGAACTGTCTTGCTATGGGGACAGTTTCCACAAAATACTCCGTTTTGACCCAACGTGCCGTCCGTGGAGGGACTGGATTGTCATTGTGGAGAGCGGAGGTTTTCAGACTGTGCTCGGTGGGGCTTCAGAGCTCTGTAGCGATGCTCCAAAATCTAAGGAAATATTTGAAAAAATGCTTTTAAGCCTTACTAACACACAGGGAAAGCTTGGCAGACTCAGATTGCAGCAGCCAGCACAGTCTGTCCACACTTGGCCACACATTTCCATCCTTCCTTCTCTTCTGGACACGCATGCGGTGTGGCGCTGGACACCACCAGCGTATGGCCTTGTGCCGAGAGATTAATCTGGTTTTGCCCAGTTAGGTAGCTCTCTTGCCCTATCTGCCTTATTAAAGAACGTCCCATGATCACAGGACAAGCTGTCAAAAACAGGTGCTGTTTGTAATTGCTCATCCTTACGGATGGGGACTTTTCCTAATAATGTGCAACCAGGAGAGAAATCAGCAGGTACAATGCTGAAGTTGGCATCCCCAACCCCACTTGTCAGATTTTCAGGTTCATCAAAATGACTTAATTGTTCTCAACGATAGACTTTATAGTGAGAATATATTGTAAACTGAGCTACAAAATAAATGAAATACTACTTTTCTCTCTGCATAGGAATTTCATGTTAGATTCATTGGGAAAAAAATAGTTCTGTTGCTAAAAATGTTTGGAAGCCATTGATGTAGTCAGATGAGCACCGATTTTAGAGGCAGACAGTTCGATAGGAGCCCTGCCTTCCCTAGCTTATTAATTAGGTGGCCTCAGGCAGAGGAATTTGCCTCTCTAAGCCATAGTTGTGTTATCTGTAAAATGGCCTGCTCTCCAGCAGGATATTTTTGTAGATAATAGAGAAGTGTACAAATGGCCTAGTCTGGTGCCTGACACACAACAAAAAGTTCAGCATAAGATAGCTATTAGAATGCTTTTCATGCTGGGAATTAAAAGTCATTAATATTTCATGCCTGGCTATTAAGAGGTATATCATTGCACTATGGAAATGCATATATCTTATTGTATTTGCATATATTTGCATATTTACTTATATGGCGAACATAACATATGCATATTCTGCTAAATATATTCTCCTATAGTTTAGAAACATTTTAGTAGACTGTAATGGCACATTTCTCTTTCTGATGCAGCTTCATGGCAAATTAAATTAGTTTCTTTTTCATTTTGAAAATGTGCAGAGCCTTTGCAGAATAATTTCTTGTACTTTAGTTTCTTCTAGTTGAAAAAAGCATAATTGAACAGCCGATAGGAACTGCTTTTATGGATTGGGACTCTGAAACGCTGCTTTATTTTTATGGCCAGGCTCTTTGTGGGTGGACTACAGAAATCCCTGCTCTTAGGAGTGTTTTTGAGCCCCCTGAGAAACTGAATAGGGAAAAAAGAGCTAATTAAAAAAGCTGCCGTCAGCCTCCTCTAATTAACTTGCTCTCCGCTCCTGGGAGAGGGTGTGAAGATATGAAAACACCACAGGCAGCTCCGGAAGTGCGTGCCCTTCCAGGGGTCCTTGGTAGCATCTGGTGTTTTGATGCAGAAATAGTTCATGGTAAACAAGGCAAGGAGTCACACAGGGGCTTGGGGTACCCTCTGCCCCCCACCACACTGCCTCCACACAGGGCAGCGGTGAATGGTGGTCCCTTCTGAGCAGGTGTGCGAGCTGGGCAGCTGCAGCAGGGGAGACCTCATTGGCATTCAGCAGCTTGAATCCACCAGCGTCCGGCCCTGCCGGTTGCTTTCTTGTGCTGTTGGGAAAGATCAGGGGCTCTTTGTGCTCTAAAGCCACACATCGCCAGGGCCCAGGGATGCAGAAACCACGGAAGGAGCACAAAGCCTCTCCCTCCGTGTCTTTGCTGGAAGCGGGAGAAGCTCACGGCATCTGTGGCTGGTGATATGACTAACTTTTTCGCGGCATCTTAAAGAGACTCAGACCCCAGAGATACCAGCAAGGGAATTAGGGTTGGGAATTTGGGGGACAGAAGCTGTTCTTCAGTGGAGATGGCTTTTGCCTTCTGGCAGATGTGGCCCCCGGTGGAATGGGCCCGGTGGATGTGGACAACGGTGACAGGCAGTGGAGACTCCAGTCTGCAGGTCCTTCAAGGAAACTCGGGCAAGAGGCAAGTTGTCCCCATGTGTCTCGTCAACAGTGCCCCTGGCGTGTGCAAGGCTGGGGGCCAGGGCGACACCCAGGGCCCACCAGGTGGGCCCAAACTCTTATTCCTCTTTGATGCTTAATTGCGTAACTTCCTTGGTTTTTGACTCTGCAAAACTTCAGGCACCTAGATTTGTTGTTGTCCAGGCGTGGATCTGAAATTCTCCTCTACAAAAGCTGAGTCCTTTAATATGAATGTGTGTTTGTAAAAGTCGATATGGCTCCTATTGTGTTTGCATGAACCAAGTTTTTACTTGTGAAATTTGATAGTATGAAGGCTTCGGCTCATTGCATCCCATCCAAAGCAGCTCTGATGTTTCTGTTCTTTCCTTTGTGTCCTGAGGGCTTTGTGGCTGGCTGGAGGAACCAGGGTCTTACGATGAGGGTGGGGGAATCTTTGGCTCAGATAAAGTGAGTCTCCAACAAACAAGTTATAAAAACATCGATGTAGATTTTCTGAAGGAGAGCTCACCAAGTGGCTCTTTTTTCCTGTCCTGGCTGACTGTGGAGGGTTTGGTTGGTAGCGGTGCCTTCCGCTAGCTGGCAGATGGTCTTTAGAAGATGCTGACTTCAGCAGAGAACACTGGTCCTTTGACCCTTGTGGGAGCTCAGCACTCAGTGCTTTTCACATTCTATACTATACACACCTGATGCATCACCCTCTAATTATATGTTTCCTGCTAAATTCCCCTCTGAGTCCCTTGTGCCAGCCGCAATTCTGAGTATCCACCTTCTTGATAATTACCTTCCTTGTTGCGAATAAATAAATGGCATTTTGGTCTAGTTACAACATCCCGAGATGGGAATCAGCCCAGGTGATGCTGCTGCTTCTCGCACGCCAGCATCCTCCGAGTGAGGTGGGGCCAGGACTGTGGACCCTGGGTGTCCTGAGCAAGTGAAGAGCTGTCCTCCAGCCTGAGGACACGTGCCTGGCTCAGTGATGTGGGGACGCCTCCTCCCTTCTGGCTTGAAATTGAGTCCTTGGTGGAAGCAGGGTGATGGAGAAGGGCTGTCTGCTCTGAGTTTTCTAGAGCCCGGGATAAGGCTTTAGTTTGGTGAGCGGCTACCCCTTGTTCCTAGGTGTGACATCCTCTGGGTGGAGTTTTGGCTCATTTCTCAGGGTGAAGAATCTTTCCTGAGAGCAGACATTGTGGCAGACCAGCAAGGGCCATTTTCACAGCATAGGGATCAGCGGGCTGTGCTTTGTGTCTTAGTCTGGCTTAGCCCAGTCCCAACCTCCAGCTGGCTTGCCAGCTTTCATACATTCATTCATTCACTTAACAGATATTTATTCACCGCCTCCTGGTTTAGGCTCGAGGATGCAGTGATAAACAAAAGAACAAAACAAACAAAAAAAAGGCTGCCCTCTTGGCCTTTTCAGCTCAATAGAGGAGAAAGATAATATGATTAGAAAGTGAGTAAGTCTATAATAAGTTATGAGAAATGCTTGGAAGGAGGGGCAGTGGGAGAGATTGATGGGGTGAGGGAGACAGAGTTTGAATGAGATTTTGTTTCTTGGGGCGGAGATCCTCTGGATGTGTTGGAACCACAGTCCCCGGGAATTCTTCCATATCAGTTTGACTGAACTGATGCTGCGTAACGCATGCCAAGATTCCAAGATCAAAAGATTCCACTGTTTGTGTTTGCCATTAAGGCCAGAAATATGTCTTTCGAGTAGAGCTGAGTTCAAAGAATCTATCATTTGGGCACAAAGCTGGTGATAATGAGATTCACTCCTGGGACTCACGCTGAGAAATGACTTCCCTTGCAGCGGGCCTCCTGCCGACTAATTGGGCGGTGCGGCTGGCTCCACCAGTCCCGGGAGGGGTCATTAGGCCGTGCACTGCTCCCGGGCATTGGCCCCTGGTCCCCTGGAGCAAATGCAGTCCAGGCCCCTGTCTAACCTGTGCTTCTCCCCTCTCTTTCTCCGTCAGGAGTTCTGACTCTGAAGAAGCATTTGAGACTCCGGAGTCAACGACCCCTGTCAAAGCTCCACCAGCCCCACCCCCGCCACCCCCCGAAGTCATTCCAGAACCTGAGGTCAGCGCACAGCCTCCCCCGGAAGAACCAGGTAACCAAGGGTCAGGTGCCCCTGGGGAAGGCCTGGGAGCAGCCCTGAGGCTGAGCCCCGACGCCACTCACAGCAGCTCCTCTGGGCCCCACTGGAGGAGGACACCCACCCCAGGGGCTGTCGTGGGAGCTCCTTGGGTTGTTGCCAGCTGCTGGAGCCTGTCACTCTGGGCTGTATTTTTTGTGCAGAGATGCGGTGGGTTGTTTGTGTTCGCTCTGCAGAATTCAGGGGAGGCCTCTGGGAAACCACTCATTTAGCTCTGGGTGCCTCTCGGACTCGGAACTGGGCTTGAGAGGGGCAGTGGGTATTGGAATTTTCTGGTGCAATCTTGGATTCTAATATTTGGCCCCTACTCCCAGAAGAGCATTAGTTCTGGATCGCCATGTAAATCTGCACTTTTACTAAAGAACACAGCCCCCGTGGGCTTGCGGGTATTTAGTAAATGGTCAAGAAGGTAAAGTGACAGATGGCTGAATCCGTGCAAGGATGACTCGTTTATTTATTCCTCATTAACTTCAAATTATCTGATTTCTTACTTTCCTACATCCTTTCTCCCCTAGTGTGGCTTAAAATACTAACCTTTATGTACCTTTCAGATGTGGTGACCCCTGGGGGTGGGGTGGGGGAGGATGGGGCAGATCTTGGTCCCAAGGCTCCAGCCTGCACACCTGGCTGGAGTTCTCTGTGTGTGCCCTCCAGTCACACCAGCAGGGATGCGACCACCTCGAACATGAAAGTCTAACGTGAGGCCTGGAAGGAGATGGGGACTTCCGGAAATGGCCCCACAGGCTGGTCATGGGACCATGTAGTCCCAGAAATGGCCCCGCAGGCCAGTCAAGGGGCCAAGTGGTGCCGTCTTCAGACCCAGACAGCCTGATCGAGTCCCGGAACTTTAGAGCGCCCCATTCTGGCTTCCTCAGGCTGCAGCCCTTGCAGTGAGATGCCTGGGAACAGCCACTTCCTGGGCCCACCCCGTCCCCTCCTCCTCGCCCATCCTCCCAAGGCTGACCGTGCCTGTGTTTGCACCCTTCAGTGAAGGAGGAACCGAGGATGGGGCGGGGACTTACAGGTGGCTTGTCCACACACCTGTGCACGAGGCTGCCCCAGGTGAGACAGACCAGGGGGCCAGGCCTCCATCTGGACTCTCGCCCTGGCCAGAGTGAAATAAAAAACCATTTTGACCTTAATGTTGGTTTTAGAAAGAAATGGGTGGAATTCTTTCTGCCGGTTCTGGCTTCAAGCTGGTCGTGTTTTCGGGTAGACACTGCTGGGGCTTTGTTGCTACGCAGACATGCCCCCGATGCAGGGGGCGGAGGGAGAGTCACCTTTGCTAGTATCTGGTAAGTGCAGTTTTCACATCCTTCCCCTTTTTGACAGTTTATTATTTAGTAGTGTCTGATTCTGCGCACTAGTCTTGGTGTTGAGCTCTTGAGAGGGTAATTATTGGAATTTAAGGGTAATTACTGATTTTAAGGTGGGGAAGAAGCAGGAAGGGCTGCTTACATTTCTGAGTGTTTTACATCTTTCATATAATAATGCATATGAAACTTTTATTTCTTATAATATAGTAAAAAATTCGCCCTGAGGTTTTAATGGAAAGTGGCTGAGTGACAAACACGTTGTAATCCTCAGGTCCAATGTGTGATTAAGAATAAATGATCTTGGGGGGAGGGTATAGCTCAGTGGTAGAGTGCATGCCTAGCATGCACGAGGTCCTGGGTTCAATCCCCCATACCTCCGCCAAAAGTAATAAATAAATAGATAAACCTAATTACCTCCAGTCTCCAAAAAAAAAAAAAAAAGAAAAGACTAAATGATCCTTTTTTGTGGGTATAATAAGTTCATGCCTATAAATGTGTGAGATACCTTAGAAAAGACTTTAGAAAAAAAAAAGGAAGGCACATCACAGTGTAGGGTCCACCCCAAGCACCAGTGTCCAGGCCGCTGCTGTGGGCACATGTGTGTCCTCCAGGATTTCCAGTCGTGCATCCTGACAGCTTCTGGGGATGGTTCGCCACTTCTGTTCTCCTGTTTGGCCCTTGTTCCTTCTGCCTGACTTCTTTTTCAACAAAGCAAAGAACAGTCTCCATTCTTAAAGACACAAACACACGCACAACACTCCTGCCTCTTGCTTCGATGGCAGTTTCTGAAAGACAGAGCATCATGGAGGAATAAGACAGAAGCCCGCCGGAAGTGGGAGCCGTAATGGCCATGAGTCACAGCCCCGTGGAACTTTTGATCACACCAGTTGGAGTTTGACTTTATGCTTTTCCTCCTTGGAAAACCACAGTGAAGCTACGTGTCTGCGGAGTATACAATAAGGAGAATTAACAGCTGGAACTGTGTCTGCCTAAGCCCCCTGGCTTGGGCTGTACAAAGACCCATTTGATTCACTGCACTCGCTAGAAAAGTCTGCTGTCCTGTCTGCGAACTGCATGTGACATTATGCAGACTGAGGAGGCGGCTGTGCTTGCTTGTAGAGGTGGCCAGAGGAGAAGGCAGCTTCCTTCTGGGAACCGCAGGAGAGAAAGGAAAGGCTGTTGTTTGGCTCCTCTGCACAGTGCCCACAGATGCTGTGAAAGGTGCCAAAAAAACATGAAATAGTAGACGAGACCTCTGGCTGTAAATAAAGACCTGATTTTTCCTCCTGGAAACCTACATTTTACAAACTAATCCCCTTACCTTGGGTCCTGCCCGCGTGATCATGCCCCACGGGACAGGAGGATGGGTGAGGCACGGGTAGCCACCTTGCTTCTGCCCCTCATCTGGGCAGGGCCAGGATACGGTTTATCTGAGCTCAGTTTTCTTAATCTGTAAAATGAAGAAGGTGACCTCAAGTCCTTGAGATCTTTCCCACTCCAACTTTCCATGATCCTATGATCAGGACACTTGGCTGTGGCTGCATTATTAGAAACTCAAACTGGCCACCAAAGGGCATGATTAAATGTCACATCATTAAATAACAGCTCCATTTAGCGTCCGCCCTGTGGCTGGCCTTTGCTGGGTTCTTTGCAGGTTTCATCTCCAACTCAGGCAAGGGAACGATCTCCAGTGCTCACAGCATCCCTCTACGGGGCATCTGGTCCCTTGCTTCCCAGTGAGATGTGGACCTTTCAGACCTTGCCCTTGGTCTCAAAGTAAGTGAGGGGCTGTGGGATCAGAACCCCCACCTCTCGACTGCCTTCCGTTTGGAAAGCAGGCTGGTCTCTGTGCAGGTGAAGCGAGCTGGTGTGTTTAAGCATCTGGGGCAAAGGGCATGCCAAGTGGTTGCCAGATGGGGACAAGTAGATGGTCAGTGAGGGAAGCCCGTCTGCGGGACCAGGAGGTGCCTTCACTCTGACAGTGGCCCTCCCTCTGGAGACGTGGTTCCCCATGGGGAAGGGTGATTGCTCCTTCTTGCAGGGAGAAGCCCAGCATGGAGGGCCCACGTGGGGGCCTTGGAGGGAACAGGAGCCGCCTGCGCCTGCTAGCCCTCCACCTTCCCTCTCTGCCCCGTGGGAAGGGTGGCCTTGCTGAGGCTCCAGTTGTGCTCCAGATGGCAGTGCGTGGACCACTGTCTGCAGATTGACCCAGAAGGAAGCTCAGTGCACCCGGGGCTTCTGTTTTCAGCGGCCCTGCCCAGGCCCCGTCTCCATACACATTGTTACTTGCTTTCATCGCCTCTGAGGTTCCCGTGCAGGAGTGCCCTCCACAGAGACAGGAAGCCTCTTGGTATTGGGCAAGGCATCTGAGAGCCTGGCCAGGTGAGAGCTCTTCATACCCTGGGGCAGGGGCACAGGTAGTGGGTGTCACTGTGGCGTGTGCAGGGGTCGGGGCCCACAGCTGCTGTTTCCTGGCACTGCTGTGTCTTGGGCTAAGTGCTTACATGCTCCTCCTGTTTCATCCTCCCAAGAATGCCTGGTTTACAGCCGAGCCTCAGAGGAGTTGAATGACCTGCCTGGGGTTGGCACCGTGGGTGGGCACACCAAGAGCCTGGCAGGGCACTGAGCTTCGGGATGCACATTGACCTCCCTTAAAGACCCCGCTCCAGTCTTGACTGCACCCAACGTCCAGCTCAGGCGGATACAACCTGGTTTTCAGGGAGAATTTCTCCATCTCTCAATGAGTCACCCTAGTCAACTGTCATTACTCACAGTGCCTCGAGCAGGGCTGTTTCTCCTTAGCCTTTGGGAACCGAATGGAGGTTTGGGAGCATAGACATGGGAGATCAGAGCAGGTGTCCAGGAAGCGGCAGGCACAGACCCACCAGGTGGGGGTCCTCGGGGCCCAGGAGGGTCTCTGTGAGAGCCTGAAGGCCTGCTGGGTCTGGGAGAGGAGCCAGCTTTGCATGGGCTGCCTGCCTTTCTTGCTGGTCCATTCTGGTTTAGTGACCACATCACAGGGTGGACACCCAGGGACTGCATCTGCCTGTCATTTCCACTCTCCCTGACGCCTCGCACCTCTGAGTCCCCAGAAGTAATCAGAGTTCACCTCAAAGACCAATTCAAGCCATCAAGCTTATCCTCCAAACCATGTCTGTGGCCAAATATGAAAACATCGCCCTGGAGATTTTAAGAACTGGGCCAGGTCTGGATGGGAAGCAGGTGAAACGAGCCAGCCAAGCCCCGACTTCCCTGCTCAAGGAACCACCTGTGGCACCTGTGAAAACGGGGTTTCTGAGCCCCAATCCCAGCCCTGCTGAATTCCTTCTCCAGGGAGGAGCCGGGAGTCTGGGGTTTCAGTGAGTGTCCCAGGTTTGTCTAACGATAAGGCAATTTTGGGAAAACTGTAATTCGTCATGGACTTGCTCTGAGCTGCCCACAGCTGCCGACAAAATGCCACATGAAGACCAAGTAATGCTCCATTTATATCTCATTAGCCTACTAAAATGGAGGTCTTTTCTAGAATAAACATTAATTGCAGTCGATTATTATTCGTGTCCTTGGAGGATGCAGAGGTAGGCTCTCTGAGTACAAGACCATTTCCCCCTGATATGTCAGTTTAAGCTAAGAGTCCGAGTGCGGGAGTGCCTCGTCTTGGCACCTTTCGGCCTCTGGCCCGTAGATCCCTGCCCAGAGTGAGCTTATCTGGGATGGGGAGACGGGAGACAGAAGCCCAGCACAGCTGGCAGTTAGTGCTCCGATTACAGACAGTCAGCAAGGCGAAGTGATGTGGCCTTTGAAGACAGCAGGGTGACAGTTGGGTGACATCAGCTGCCCCTTAATAGCTTTCTCCCTTTCCTTGGAATTCCCTCTTGTTTCCAGATACATTTCTTTTTTCCTTAGCTTGGGGGATTTTGTGGCCTTGCACTGGCATTATGGACTGCGTTGTGTTCCCCCCATTCGGATGTTGAAACCCTAACCCTCACACCCCCACCTCCCGGCCATGTGACAGTATTTGAAGATAGGACCTTTATGGGATGATTAGGTTAAACGCGATTGCACAGCACTAATCCATTAAGGCTGATGTCCCTGTAAGGAGAATTAGGAGACATCAGGGATGAACTCACACAGAGGAATGGCCGTGTGAGGACACAGAGAGAAGGTGGCCACCGGCAAGCCAAGGAGAATCCAAGCCTGTGGAAACCTTGACCTTGGACTTCCAGCCTCCAGAACTGTGTGAGAATGAATGTCTATTGTTTAAGCCCTTCAGTTGGTGGACTTTATTCTGGTGTCCGGAGCTGACTAACATACCAGGAACTGCCTGGTGAGCCTGCACATATCACGAGCCAAGGATGCTGATTTTGTGCTCAGACTGAGCAGAACCTGGAACCAGGGCAGGACGTTGGTCTCAGGGCAAGCATTGTTCGGATCTGCACCGTCAGGGTGCACGAGGCAGAGGACAGGTTTCATGTGAGTGGATCCATCTGGAGTCTTGTCCTTCCCTGCCTCTGTGTTCACAGTGGCTGGCAAATGGGAGGCATCCAGGTTATTTTTGGAATGAATGGATACATTGTCTTCGGGTAAGGTGTGTGGACATTTAGAAATCCAGGGGTTTACAGGGTTTGCAGGGGTGGACTGGGAATCCTATTGGAATACAATTGCTTTGGAAAATCAGGGCCTGCATGTGGCAGGGATCATATATCATGCTCTCCCAGCCCTGCTCTGGTCACCGGACAGTAAGATATTGGTTCCAAACCAGGGATTGTTTGCGCTGCAAGGGGGAATTTGGCAATTTCTAGACACAGTTTTGGTTTTCAGAGCTAGGGGGTGGAGGACACTAATGGCATCTAGTGAGCGGAAGTCAAGGATTCTGTTAAATATCCCACAATGAACAGGATGGCCCCCCACGACAAAGAACTAACCATCCTGAAATGGCCACAGTGCCGAGGCGGAGAAACCCTGCAGCAACGTTACATTTCCTGGTCCTTGATGATTTAATTAGGGTATGTCCGTTCCAAAGAGGAAAGCCACGTGAAGCAGTCAGAGAGCTCTTCTTCTGGGGAAAACAGTGAACAGATGGTTAAGCTGAGTGTCTGCTGATTATTGCACGGTTTGGGGAGAACTCCTGACATCTGAAGGGCCTTGGAAGTCTTCCTTCCTTGGGCTGCTGGGGCATGCGTAGTAGCCTGAGCCAAAGCAGGTTGGCGGTTGTGGGCATTGCTCTGGAAATGATGGGATGGGCTGAGACTCTCCTGTAAGACCCACTTGAAGCACCTGGTCCCCTGGGCCCCCTGGTCCTTCTGTGCCCTCTGTACTGTATGTCCAGGGTGGGGAGGCAAAGCAGCTGCTGATGGGAGGATGGGATGCCCGAGGGTGCCAGTCCCTGGAGGAAATAGGGAGGGAGTTGATCATAGAAAGAAGGGAGGGGACATCGTCTTTTGAGATGGCAGTGAAGCTAGAGTGTTTTCAAGACCTGGAGGAATCATTTGGCCGACAGGGTTGAGAAGCTTTCAGGCAAGTGCTCCCTCTTCTGTGACATCTGGCTGCAACCAAGTAGGGCCAGGGGTGGCTTTGGATGCAGAAGACAAGGGAAGGTTTGAAACCATGGCTGGCGCGTAGACATAGCTTCCAGAAGGTGCTCTCAATTCCAGAGGCATTATTGAGCCTGCAAGAGGAAGTGTGATAAGACCGGGGAAAACAAGGAAAAATCAGACCAGTTCCTGAACTCAGGAGGCTGGACATTTCCTCGTGTTGTCATCTCCTGGGCAGCGCTTCATCTGCTGGGGCTCTCTGCCAAGTGCTCCAAGGGAAAGATTAGCTTGTGAGCAAAGCTTGGTAAGCACAGAGTGCTCCCCACCTCGGGGTTTGCAGGAGTGAGCATCAATTGCTCTGAGAAAATCTACAGTAAGAGGGCAGTTCGGGTCTCAGTGAGCATTTCCCAAACCTTGTTTGTTTGTTGGAATGAGAGAGAGGGCTGCCAGATTTAGCAAACAAAAATACAGGGCACCCACCTAAATTAGAATCTCAGATAAACAATGAATGATTGGAACATGGGACATATTTATACTCAAAAACATCTTCATTTATCCAAACTCAAATTTAACTGAACACCTTATATTTCATCTGGCCACTCTACCGGCAGGGGTTAGGGTGGGTACTGCGGAGTTTAACTCTTGTCAGTGAAACACACTTCGGGAACGCTGCGCCAAGTCATATATGTGCCAGCTCTTTAATTCCTTCTTCTACCAACCACTTTGCAACATTCACCCTCCTTTGTCTAGTGACATGTTTTTGGTTCTCTGGCCAATCGTTTTCTGGCATCTTGATGGCTCAGGACAGCTGTGAACCCAGAAATGCGTGCAAGGCGCCACCTGGTGCAGGCAGATCCCAGAGTAGCCAAGCCAAGACCAGGCTGGATGCATCTCCATGGAGCAGTGGGGTCATGAGATGATGGAGTATCTCTTTGCTGGCATTTGGAGTATCTGCAGTGTGTTTTAAAATAAGGAGCTGCCTCCTTGGCTGGCAGTGGTGAAGCGGGTGAAGAAACCGAGAGGAAGCTGCAAAAGATGGAGGGAGAATAGATGAGAGGGAATGAGAGAAGCGTGACAGGCAGGGTTGGAGGGAGAGATTACAGGGGATGCCTAGAGTCAGGATGGGTGGCAGCTCAGTCCTGCTGCACTTGCCTGGGGGCTGCCACATAAAGGCTCTGAGTAGTCAAGAGCAGGCTAGAGGATGATAGCAGCTAATAGTTATTGAAGGCTCATTATGCTTTCCTTACATTTCTTCTGTGTCTTCCTCTCCTGCTCTTCACCCTGGTGTTAGCCACACTGGCCTCTGATACTTCTGCAACACACCAGGCTTGCATCTACCCCAGGGCCTTTGCACTTGCTATTCCCTTTGCCTAGGATATTTCTCCCCAAATATCCCCATTTCATGCGTTTACCTCATTTCCGATCTTGGCTTAAATGTCTTCTCCTTGGAGGACTTTGCCCAGCTACCTTGCTTTAAAATTGCAACACTCCTCCCCTGGCTTTATTTTTCTCCACAGCACTTACCACCATCGGACAGTCTGTTTGTTTTACTTGTTTATTGCTTCTTGGCTGTCTTCTCCCTGAAGAATGTAACTTCCAAGAGGGCAAGGATTTTGTCTGCTTTGTTCATTGTTGAATCTCCAGCTCCCAGAACGATGCCTGGTCTTGACTGGGCGTTTGGTAAATATGTTTTGAGCTCTTCCTTAAACAGCCCTTATTGCTCCCATTTGACAGATGAGGGAGCTGAGGGTAAGCGTACACAGGGGTGGACCTAATGGGTGAGAGCAGGGTTTGTACCCAAGCAGCGTGGTGGGCAGGTTGGCTGGGGTGATAGAGGGTGATCGTCTGGCACGGGATGAGAGACTCTCCGAAGTGTCCCGTGTCCCTCAGTGACTGCTTTGTCTCCATTTCCTCAGGATGCGGTTCTGAGACAGTCTGCGTCCCCGATGGCCCCCGTAGCAGCTCTGTGGAAGGAAGTCCTTTCCGTCCTCCGTCACACTCCCTCTCCGCCGTCTTCGATGAAGACAAGCCGATAGCCAGCAGCGGGACTTACAACTTGGACTTTGACAACATCGAGCTGGTGGATAACTTTCAGACCTTGGAGCCGCGCTGCTCAGACTCTAAGAACCAGGACTGCAAGGTGAACTCGCGGAGGAAGTCCACGGACTCTGTCCCCATCTCGAAGTCCACGTTATCCCGGTCGCTCAGCCTGCAAGCCAGTGACTTTGATGGTGCTTCTTGCTCAGGCAACACCGAGGCCACGGCCCCGGCCCCAGAGGCGTACAGCACGGGTTCGAGCAGTGCGTCCAGCACCCTTAAGCGAACTAAGAAACCGAGGCCACCTTCCTTAAAAAAGAAACAGACCACTAAGAAACCCCCAGAAACCCCCCCAGTGAAAGAGACACCGCAGGAGCCAGCCGACGAGAGTCCTGTCCCCGGTGAGGAGCATCGAATACCAGAGACAAAAGTGGAATCAGCCAAGACGGAAGGTTCCGGACCAGCCTTATTGGAGGAGGCGCCCTTCGAACCTGCTGCTCTGCCCAAGGCTGCCTGCCCTCTGGACTCAGAGGGTGCAGAAGGGGCCGTCCCCCCAGCTCCTGGGGGTGGCAGAGTGCAGAACTCACCCCCCGTTGGAAGGAAGATACTGCCTCCTGCCACGGTCCCGGAGGCAGTGGAGGGGACCCCGTCAGATAGCGGGGGGCAGGAGGACTCCCCAGCCAAAGGCCTCTCAGTGAGGCTAGAGTTTGACTATTCTGAGGACAAGGGTAGTTGGGACACCCAGCAGGAAAACACCCCTCCCACCAAAAAGATAGGCAAAAAGCCGGTTGCCAAAATGCCCCTACGGAGGCCAAAGATGAAAAAAACACCCGAAAAACTCGACAACGCTCCTGCCTCGCCTACCAGCTCCCCCGCTGAACCCAATGACATCCCTATTGCTAAAGGTACCTACACCTTTGATATTGACAAGTGGGATGACCCCAATTTTAACCCTTTTTCTTCCACCTCAAAAATGCAGGAGTCTCCCAAACTGCCCCAACAATCATACAACTTTGACCCAGACGCCTGTGATGAGTCCACTGACCCCTTTAAGACGTGCTCTAAGACCCCCAGCTCACCTTCTAAATCCCCAGCCTCCTTTGAGATCCCAGCCAGTGCCATCGAAGCCAATGGAGTGGACGGGGATGGGCTGAACAAGCCCGCCAAGAAGAAGAAGACGCCCCTCAAGACGTAAGTTCAGGGGTGCAGGTGGCAAGCTTGGAGGCGGGGCTGCGCATTGGCTGGGATCCTTGCTCACGTGCCTGGGTGAGGCTGGGCTGCCCTAACCCCTCCCCCTTTTGCGATAGGGCCACCATGTTTGCTGCAGGATACCTGTTGTCATTTCTTTCTGTACCCATCGGTGGCACTTCCCATCCACATGTCCCTTTGGGTCTAAAGTCCTTGACCTTTTGCCTTCGTGAGTCAGTGGTCTAAAGCTTGACTTCTAACTGAAGACCTGACCTTCAACTTCAGGAGAGTGTGGGGGAACCCATAGAAAGGGAACAGCCCAGGGAAGACCTGCTTAGCCTCTGTGTTGGTGACTTAGCTTTTGCTTTTTAGCACGCTGATTTGCTTTCGAAGTGGCCTCAGAACTAAGAGATCTGCCCTTTAAAATATTGTTCAGATTGATAGTATTTGTTTCTGCCCATTAATGAGACATCACCCCAACCCCAGGAGGCAAACAGAGTAGGTTCCGGAGGCCCATGAGTGACAGGTCTGGCCTGGGCCCCTCCCTGCATCCCAGCCAACTTGTAAGAAACACCCCCATTTGTCTCCATCCCTCTGGCTAGTTGTCTTCATAGACAAGAGTCCTCGGGCACTGTAGGTCCAGAGAAGATCAGTGGAACCTGAAAGGGAGAGATAGTCCCCACAATCCCCAGGAGGCCATTAATAACCGGGTCTGCTCTCCAAACACTCGCCAAGTAGATTGCCCTCTAATACTACGTGTCTGGGCCTTGGCATTCATCCCAAGACCCAGCTCCAACTTGGATGGCTGCAGGTCCGTTCCCAGGATTTTGGTCCAGCCGTGGTGTGCTTTGGTGCCTGGAGCCTTTCTCCTTCCTCTCACGTGAAGTCTCATCAGTCATTTAACAAGGCCCAGGTGACCGGGCTTCTGGCAGCAACTCCGCCATGGCTGTTGGCCTCTCCCAGCCTACCTGGCATGAATCGAGACAGGGTGACCTGTTTACCTCTCATTCTGGGCTCCCCCAAGTATTTAATATTTGAGAAGAACCCGAGGCTTCCTGAGAAGAGGGTCCCCAAGCAGGCTTTGGCCTTGGATTACCCTGCTTCTGTCCGGTGGTGGGTAGGAGGCAGTCCTGGCCAAAAATGTGGACTTTTCTTAATCAGGCCCTTCATAAAGATCCCATAGAATCTGTTGGAAAGCTTGATGTTAAGCCTCCAACAGGAGAAGTCTGAAATGCCCAAATCACAAAGCCATTTCTCTCATTTTTGGAAAGAGAGCCAACTTGTATCCACTACCTCCTCCTTCCCGATGGATAGCTTGGTTCTGTCCTGTTCTATCACCAGCGCTAACCGAGGTCGGGGAAGCCAACCCGTCTCCAGGTCTCATCTCTAGTGCAGGTGACTTGGGATCCTACACTTGGGTGACAAAGCTCTTTGAACACCAACAGTTTATGGGGTAATTGGAACCCAGAGAGGAAGGCCCTCTCCAGAAAGTTGGGATGTTGCCCACACTCCCAAGCAGAACCTACAGTGGATGGCGCTTGTATCCCTAACCCGTTAATAACCAGTTGTCCGCAGATTTACCTTTTTTGTCAGTTCCTTCTGTCTGTCTCTCTTTTTCTTTGTCTTCTTGTCTTAGGATGGTTGAAGATGTGATGTCTGTATGTTCTCTGTTGTAAGTAAATTTAATGGAATCTGCCTCTTACGCCAAATGTGCTTTTTTCTGCCTTTGTTTTTGCTTCTGAGCGCTTTTTATTTCCTTTCTGTGACTGCTGCTTACATATTTCTGTGGCGGGCCTGGGAATGATGGGGCATGGGGCTTCCCAGCCGCACAGGTCATTTGTCTGCTTCATCGTGATTAGCATAAGTGAGACTGCTTGGCCGTGAAAACGTGATTATCCAACATCTGCCTGCTTGTCAGAAGTGGAACTTTTTTCCCCCTTTACATATTGAATGTCTTCATCTGAAACCCATACATTTTTTTTAAAAATCTCATTTCATTCTTTCATTGTGAATTGGGCTAGTGGACGATTGCTCTCAAAGAATTGTGGCTTCACATTAAAATAACCGTCTAGTCCAACCACGGGCCACAACTGCTTTTGCTTGTTCTTGCTACACAAGCAGAGACGTTTGGACTGTTTCAAATTGAGACGTATGGGAGCCCCCTGGAATGCAGGGTCTGCTCAAAGTGGAGCACATGGCCGTGAGAGCCATCGCCAGGCCCCTCTGGGTCAGCAGGGCTGGTCTGGGTACCAGCATGCCGTCTGTGGGCCACCCTGCTCCAAACAGTAGACCACCTCGAGGTCTACTGCTTTGCCTCCCTGGCCAGGAGAGATCTTGTGGGCTGCTCCCAGGGGCCCAAGAACTGGTATCTTCTCTGCCTCTCCATCCTTCCAAGGGAAGCTGATCTGGTCCCAGACGTCCAGCAGCCCCAGGATAGGGTTGAGTCTCTCAGGCTCTCTTCTGCCCAAGGGATTTCTTTAGTATGTTAGAGCCATTCAGCAACTATAAAACACACAGTTGTGTATTTATATGCATGAATAAATATATGCTTCAAGCTGCGATTGCACTGTTCGTATGGCAAATGCCATAAATGCTGTAAAGAACCATTTATAGTACTTCTTTCCTGACTGAATGCCATTGTTGGAGTGTTTTATTCGAGAGAACACAAGGAGGAACTTGGTGCCAAATTGCTCTGTCCAACCAGTCAACGCTTAGAGCAGGGGAGGGGAGAGGGGTCTAAGGTGAGGGGAACCCCCTCCCACTGCACAAGCCTTTGCTTGCCGGGGGGCAGCACTATACCACAGAGGGGCCTGAGACCAGGGGGCAGAGGCTGGTCTGCAGGTGGAGGAGCTGCCATTCTGATTGTGGAAATGACCCCCTGACCACCCAGCAGACTTAATGGAACCATCTGGACGAAAAGTCCCTTCCTTCTGACTCCTTCAGGAGTCTGAGCTGATGTTTCCTTTGCCTGCATCCTCCCCTCTCCTCCCCCACCTCCACCCCCAGTTATTTATATGAAGGAGAAAGAAAGGGAGAAAAGAGTCCTTGACCTTGGTTAGGAGAAGACGTTTAAAAGATCATTCCATCCCCAAAAAAGATTTCTGGAGATTGGTTGCACAACATGAATGTACTTTACTGAACTGTACACTTAAAAGTGTTTAAAGTGGTAAATTTTACTTTATGTGTATTCTACCAAAATTAAAAAAAAAATGATCTCAGCCCTGGCCCTGCCTTTAGTCAGACTCCCACCCAGAAGTTCAGAGGTGTGGGAATCCCTTAAGCTCAGTTCCTGCAAGTAGGAAGGTATCTGCCGGTTGTCCCTGAAGGCCCAGAACTTTCCTTCCTGTTTCTGCACGGCCCCTTTAGTTGTCTAAGTGCTGCACTGTATTGATCTTCCGTAAATTGGATCCTGTTAATTGGTGTCGTGAACTCAGATCCCCTCCCCCACCTTAGGTGGTGCAGACATTCCTGGGTGAATCCAGGTATACTAATCTGCTCACCAGAATTTGCTTTTTAAAATAAGAACATCTGGGTAAATTTAGCTTCATTTTCTGGGTCAGCTCTCCAAAATGGCATCTCTTACAAGATTTCCTGCCTGATGAGTTGTTCCCTCAGGGGCAGCAATCGTATCTATTAAAAAGTCAGAATGGAGTGGCGTAGGCTGGGGGGTGGGCTGGGTCAGATACTCTGGGCCTCCGTTGGCTCTGGAATGTTCGGTGCCTCTGTCTCTTCTGTTTACATTTTCATTTTGTTTCCAGTGACACATTTAGGGTGAAAAAGTCGCCAAAGCGGTCTCCTCTCTCTGACCCACCTTCTCAGGTATAATGTTCCCTTGATATTTATGATTTTACTGGTTACCTGGGGAGTTAAGGCTGATGTCTTTTCTATAACCCACGAGTCAAGAGAGCTTGCTTTTCTGCTCATCAAAGCCATGTTTCCAGTACCCTCTTCTTGCCTCCTGAGTGACGGATCCCTCGGTGTTTGCAAGACATTGTTTTGATCCCTTCCCTTGAGGAAACTTCAGAGTATGTCCCAGGAGTAGGAAGATGTTCAGGAAAAATGTTAGTTGGATTCGATGGGTGTCGTGCTGGTCCATCCTGGCCAGTTAATCTACTGAGAACTTATAATGAATATATAAGGAAGTTGAGGAAGTCTGCTGAGATAAGTGAACATACAGTGAGAAAGATCTGAGTATGTGTCCAGAGCACTGGGTTAGGTAACCAGAGTCACCGTGGGGAGACAAAGGAGCCCCATCCCCTACAGAAGTGGGGCTTGGGCTCTTCAGACGAGTCCTTGTCTCTCTCTTACCAGTTACTCTACCAGATAGATGCCATTTCTTCTGCCCTGTTTACAGACCGAGGAAGGGTCTCCTCCAGTGTGTATGCCAGGCCAGCCAAGGTCATAAAACAAACCAGCCTCCCAACCTGCTCATTCAAGCCAGCAAAGCGCTGGCCAGGGCAAGGCTTGAGAGGGGCCAGCCCCAGGAGAGGGTCTTGAGTCCAGTGCCACCTCTGCTGTAACTTTTCTGGGCTCCCACCGTGCCCTGCTTGGCTGCACACTCTCTGTAGAAAGGGAGATGAGACCGCCTTTGTCCACCTCCCAGAACAGGCGTGAGGGTTGTCAGGCGATATGATAATACTGATGTACATACAGGCCCTAAAGCACTGTGTGGGCATAAGACCACAGCTGCCTTCGTAAAAAAGTGACAGTAGTTAAAGTTTCCTTATTTTTCTCAAAATGAATAGCAGGAATGCCTCCAAGACACAAAATCCTGATTTTTTGGAAACCCACGGTCCTTACCCCCTGAAACAAGCCATCAGAAAAAGAAATTCATAGAGGAAAGAATTTGTTTCCTTGGGACAGTTTTGAGCAGGGGAATTGGACAGGGACCCACCCTGGTTGGTGGGGCCCAGACCCGTGGGTGGGCACAGAGACTGGATGAGAGAAGAGATTGCTTCTGTTCTCCTGGTAGGACCCCACCCCCGCGGCTACCCCGGAAACGCCACCGGTGATCTCTGCGGTGGTCCACGCAACCGATGAGGAGAAGCTGGCGGTCACCAGCCAGAAGTGGACGTGCATGACGGTGGATCTGGAGGCTGACAAACAGGACTACCCACAGCCCTCAGACCTGTCCACCTTCGTAAACGAGACCAAATTCAATTCACCCACGGAGGGTAAGCAACCTGGTGGCCAGCTGGACCCCCACCCTGCCTTGGAGACCACTGCCCCTAGGGAGCAAAAGGCCAGAAAAGAAACTTCTAAGCCAGGTAACCGAGCCATCGGCTGCCGCCTCCCAGTGTGCTCTGAACTCAGGTTGTGTTTTGAACCAGCCTGAGGCTTGAAAGCAGCTGTACCCTGGCCCTCAGGCCCCTGCTGAACGCCGGCACAGCGGCCTCTAACTCCCAGTCCTGAGCTCCCCCAAGCTTTGCACCTTCTCAGCCGTAAGGCTTATGTCCCTTGGGGCTATAGAAACTGGATGCAGAGCCCTGTTCTCCGATCACCCTTCCTGTTAATGAGGTCACGTCCGACCACACCAGACACGCATCTGGGGGTGCCAAAGTGCTGCTCCCCAGAAAGAACCTGGCTGCGGCTACAGCCATGATTTAGGCTTCCTTACACTGAAGTCACAAATCACAGGATAGTGAAATGTTGGGTTAGAAATAATAATTGCCTCTTGAACACGTACTCATTGCGGTATGAATTCTCTAAGTAATGATGACATGGAGGCACTTGTCATTGGTGGAGCCCCCACTCTGAGCCCTGCCGGGCCTTTTACGTACCTGATTTCACTGCATCCTCCCAGCTCTGGAGAGTGGATTTCTGCACGTCCCCGCGTAAGATCGAGGGGTGAGAGGCTTTGAGCTGTTAAGACTGGCTGAGTGTTGTGGGGCTAATCCGTGTAGGACCAGGTCTGCCGGATGCGAAGGGGCTTCTTTCCCACTATGCTCTTTACGTGAGCATCGTACAGGCTTCCTTTCCTCAAGGGTAGAATGAGTGTGTTGTTGAAATGACTGGTGCTTCCGGATCCACAAGAAATTCAGAGCATCTTAATATTTTGAAAAAGCCGAATGGACCCAGTTTAGATAGATGCTCAGCTGATTAAAACTGCGTGTTTGGTGGCCGTAATTACATCAACTTGCTGTGGTGACGCTGATCGTCTCCCACTGATTAAATCCTCAGATTGGCAACATTTTTTTTCAAGTGCTTGCTAAGCAAATGCCCTCTTCTGGACTAGCCTTTTGAAACATGGGGCCATAGGAGAAAACCTAGTCCATGTGGTCCCCAGGGATGAAAAGTTTAGGAGCCACTGGACAACAGAGTCTCCCAGACCTCCCTCTTAGCTCTGATCTGAGACCCTGAGGGAGTAGTTGATTTAGATTCACTGGTCTGGATGGCCCTTGGCTACTCACCCAGTTTCCCCCTTTCCCTTAACCTGCAGTTACATCAGCCACTCCTTCCTGCATCCAGGGAACGTGTCCTTCTCAGGAGCATAACCTGTCCTTTGACGGTGGGCACCTTTGCTGTCATAGCACAGAAGGGCCATGCAAGGAAGTTGGAGCGGTGTCCTTGTCCCCTTCCAAAAGGCTCTTTTCCTCTCATCACTTACGTTAAATGTTTCAGAAATATTAGCAGTAAGCAATAAGACCTGGTCACATTCCCTTACCTTTGCATAACCGGCAGTGGGCCTTTTTGTCTGACATCATTTCATTTTCTCCTGCAAGATGTATGTAATTTTGAGCTCCACTTTATAGTGAAGTCAACAGGCCTGGAGGAGTTGGTGAGTTGGCTTCCCTGATCCTGGGAATGATGATCTGGACTCAATCGCATCCTTCTGGCTTCTGCCCCGGGCTCCTTTCAGTCCTCTACCAGAGCTCTGGCAATGAGAGTCAGATGCAGACAGCAGTCCAGCCCTCTCATGGTGCATTGCCCGGGTGTGAAATAATTACCAAAAGCAGCGCTCAGAAATGACAGGGCGCATTAAAAATAACTTGGGGCCTCTTCAGCTCGGAGCAGCACGTGCTTTAGCAAGCAGCCTCCGGCTGATGTAAAGATGCTGTGCTGCTTGGTGTAACTGGTGCTACCCTTGCTGGCCTGCCAGCTGCATGTGGCGTGGTATAAAAATGGGGCTAAAGTTGGACATGGCTCCTCACCCCAGTCCTACCCTCTGAAGCTTAGAATTTAAGGCAGATGAGTGAGATTTTGAAAACCAGACTCAGTTAAGATGTTTTTTCAGAATATCTGAAACCCTCTTGGCAGGTAGGAAAGAAGGCAGACAAGTGAGCTCAGTGACCTGAAACTCACCCAGATCAGCTGCCAGGAAACGAGCTCAGGTTCCAGGCGGGACACGTCACTGAGGCAAGCTGGTAGCCAGAACCGGCACTGACCTGGGCCACGGGTCCTGGAAAACCTCCACGGTGGCCCCTGGCTTATTCGGTGCATCCTGGGTGCTCCGTGCCACCATGGGGCATGTCGGGGTGGAAGTAGGGGTTGCTGTTAGATAAGTGAGGGTTAGATCATGCCTTGGCAGTGGTAGTGAAACCTTGGAGGAGTAAGCAGCTGATTCACTATTACCTTCTCAACTTAGTCTTTAGTAAAACAATGAAATGATAGTCCTGGCATCCTACACTTGGAAAGTGACAGATCTGGAAGAGGCCCTAGAAGTCACCTTGCCCTCCACTGTTCCCTGCCTTTGCAAGATAGTAAGTCCTAATGAATGAATGCTTCTGGGTCTTCAGTTGAGGCAGACCTGGGATCAGGTTCAGGTTCACATGACCGTTGCGGACACGCTGAGCTTCCACCCAGCACGTGGTTCGGCTCTAGTCTCTGTTCTTTCCAAGTGACACACAAGTCAGGGCCTTCAGGGCGCGTGAGGTCTTTTCTGGCCATTAACCCGCAAAACCGTCTCCATTCCCGTGAGCAGGTCACGTCTGCCAGAAAGATGCATTTGCTTCCTCCCAGAGATTCAGAGACTCCTGAAAAGTCGTCCACGGGTCTGAGTGCTGGAGTTCATGTGGCTGCAGTCACACACACTTGCAGGTTTTGAGAAACCCTTTGAGGGAAAAAAAATCTCATTTTAAAGCTCATATTAAAAGGATCATTTTTTTCAAAGTGATTCCTTCAGTTGAGTATGTATATGGTTATGAATCTGTAGGAACGAGGGACTTTAAGCCAGAACTGCTATTTATATATATATATATATATATATTTTTTAAATATAAAAAAATTGAGGCATTCAGCTTTAGGGATTACCAGTGACACTTATACAGCTGCTCTCTGAGCAGGTCATGTGTCACCTCTTGGTTTTCTTTTCGAGTGGTTGAGAGTCGTCTTGTAGCTGCAGATTAGGACTTGCTCTGTCTTGTTCACTAGGGTGTCCGCTGTGCCCAGCACGGTCTGAGGCACATAGCAGGTGCTCGGAATCCATTCACCAGGCAGGGAGTTCAGTGAAGAGGCAGAGCCAGGTCTCTACCCGGAACTGCCCAGGGCCCCTTAGGAAAGCAGTGGGGTTTCTAGTCTCCAGTGAGAGTGTCTGGAGTTTTCTTTGCAGCCTAGAGTCTCCAGTCAATTTGAAACGGGTCATTTCTCCACCGAATTGGACTTTAATTGTCTTTGCATCTGAAAATTTGGCTTGGGCCTGTTGGTACTGGCAGAATTTGGGGCAATGTTCCTGGCGATTTGTAAAGCTTCTCTTATAACAACACTGTTCTTCCCTAGCTTCTGACGACTCAGGACTGGGGAAGGTTCCAAGTATTGCACATAAGACTTACCAGGAAAACCAACACCCAAAGTGTACACACCCTCTGATCTGAAAACTTGGTGCAAAATGCTCAGATCTGTCCCCAGTCCAGCCTATGCTTGGTCATGACATTTAATTCCCTTGGAAAACTCTCAGACTTTTAAATGGCAGAAGCCCCTTTATGGTAAGAGGTTTACCAGTTGTCTGAAAATAGCTGAGTCGACCCTCCCCTTTTGACCATATAAGAAATCTCAGTCAGTGGACGTTTTCCCAAAAAACTTAAAGCCTTGTTCCAGGCCCCACCATGCCCAGCCCAGATCTTTTATTTTTTTTCCTTCTGGCACTCACCTCTCCTTTTGTTTCTTTTCTAGAGTTGGATTACAGAAACTCCTATGAAATCGAATATATGGAGAAAATTGGTTCCTCCTTACCTGTAAGTTCTTCTGCCTCTAGCCAGCAGGGGACTTGCTTTCCCACCCTGCTTTGTCAGTGTGGTGAACTGGAACTGGGAAGGGGTGGAGAGAGCGTTTGAGGTTTGTCTCAACCCACCTTATATGGCATTTTCAGGGAGAAAATGATGGGATGCAATTCTGTAATTTCTACAGAATTGCTTCCTTAGACTGAGAAAGAACTAGTCAGAGATTTCTTTTAAAAAGGTGGAGGGAGTGGTTTGGTTGTAATTTAAGGTATGCCATTACTTGCTTTCTTCAAATTAACTGCTTTATGTAACTGAGGATCGTCTCTTTGGGCAGTGTCTTTCCCCCACCCCTTTTTCATTTTGAGTTGTTATGATGAGCAGCTGTCTTCCCCGGCTTGGTATGTGTACCCGCTGGGGCATTTGGTCCTGAACATGACCTCTTGCTCTGTGCTGATGTCCAGCGATGCCCTCAGAGGCACAGAGATGCCCAGGAGGGCTTGTGCGACACTGAGCAACCCTGACACGTTGCTTGGATCTTTACCTTTCTTTGCATCATTTGTAGATATGGGGTTACTGCTGCTAAACTACAATTTGCTTTGAATCCACAAACCTTGATGGTGGTGCCCATCACACTGTTCCACCACGCTCGCCCATTTGACTGTACGCAGCGCCTGGATGGGGGCCTTGCCGACCCCGTTTACCCTCAGTGCCCAGCATGGTTGTCCATCCAGAGAAGATGGCCAGTAAACACCAATGCCATCATGAGCCTTCTCCCCTGGAAACATTCCCAACTGCACACAGTCGCACAGTCTCCCTCCACTTTCTCTTCCCTCCTGTCCTCCCCTCCTCTCTCCTCTCCTAGCCAGCCCCGCTGTCTCCTCTCTTCTGGGTGGCAGAGAGCAGTGAAGGCTTTTCCCTGACGAGTTACCTGTCCCCATCGAAGGGCGCTCTGGTTTCGTCTCTAGCGTGTTCAGGCCACCATAGCCGAGCTGACTGACGTGTGACTTTCATCCTTGCAGCAGGACGACGACGCCCCCAAGAAGCAGGCTTTGTACCTTATGTTCGACACTTCTCAGGAGAGCCCAGTCAAGTCTCCGCCCGTCCGGATGTCAGAGTCCCCAACACCGTGTTCAGGGTAGGACATCCATGATGAGAGAGCTACCCACCAGGGCCGAGGTCCCCAGGCCTCTGAGCACCTGCACTGTTATCCTGACCCTAATTTGCGCACTCAGGCAGCCCACGTTTCCATCTCTCTCAGTCCACACGGACACAGATGCAGCTGGTTTGTCGCTGGCTGCCCTTTGGACTAAAGTGAGATCCCTTAACAAATGAATGTGTGAGCCCCTTCTGTTGTCTCCCAAAGCACGCGTGGCTTTACGTTGTAGTTTGTCCCGTGGTGGGCAGCACACCAAGGCGTTCAGAGCCTGAATCCCGTTCCCACTCCCTCCTGGTTGTGTGATCAGGTGTAAGCTAACTTGTCCCTCCTGGGCTGCAGTTTCCTTATGTGTAAAGAGAGAGTGATAATGAAATTGATCCTGTAGGGATTTTATGAAGATGAATTGAAGCTCTCAGTCTTCCCCCCAGATGCGATGGGGATGGGGTACCGATCCAGAAAGCCACTGGGAGGATAAAACTGAGATGCTGTAAGGAAAGCACTTGTCACAGGGTCTGAGATAAATGCAGTGCCTGATAAACGTTTGTTATTCACATGGATGTGAGTCTAAGCAGCTGTGAGAGTGCTGGTCTGAGCCGCGTGGTGCTGGGCTGGGTGAGGGTGGGGTATCGCGCTAAGATTGGGAGCTTGCTGTCCTCTCCTCCCTGCCCCCTCACTGAGTGGGAGTGAAAGCTCTTGCTTTGGCTTCCCACACACTCTGGAATCTGTGCGAGGTGGTGAGAATGTGGATGGTGATGTTATGACAGCAGTGATGATGTACTAGAAGGCAGGAGCGGTGCCTCGTGAGGGACACTGTGCCTGGTGCTTTCGGTGCAGGCAGCATCCCGCTGGACCTTCACAGAGCTGTGTTGTCTCTGGGTTACAGAGGAGGAAGCTGAATTTCAGGACCAGTCACTCCCCCTGGGTGCGCAAGCGAGGGACTGCACCTGCCTAACTGCCCGGCTCGTGTCTTAGCCTGTGGCATCTGTGCTTCTGGCCGTCCCTTGTCAGCAGGCCCTTGGTGGGGGCTGGACCACCCTCAGTCTAGCCCACAGACCCCGTGCCCCCCCTAAGTCCTGCCCATTTTCCTCTGGGGATATAACCCTGGAAGTCCAGGATCCCTTGGTATGCTAGTTGGGGCATCCTGGCTAATTTAAGTGGGATTTCCAACGCAGACTCTATAAAGATGCCCTTTGCTTCCCTCAGGTCAAGTTTCGAGGAGACTGAAGCCCTCGTGAATGCCGGGGCCAAGATCCAGCACCCCGTTGCACGAGGGCTGGCCCCCAACCAGGAGCCACACTTGCAGGTGCCAGAGAAACCATCCCAGAAAGAGCTGGAGGCCATGGCCTTGGGCACCGCGTCAGAAGTGATTGAAATTGTAAGTGGGGTGAGAGGGGCCCAAGATCACTGCGGGTAAGGCTGGGCCAGCCGGGTCCCATCACCACAAAGGCCAGTCCTTCAGAGCAACCCTCGCCTGGTGCCTGGCATGGGGCCCCACCCTGTCCCCGCCACAAGCCAGCCCAGGACGCCCCACCCCACAAGGATGAGAGAAAGCCTCTCTGTTCTCCCAGCGTGGTTTTGCCTTTCTCTCCCAAGTGCTTTACTAGCCTCCAGGGTGGTTTATTTCCCACTTCTGGCACCGTCATCAGCCTGTACCCGGCTTCTCCATCCTCTGCGGTGGAGTGCAGAGAGTGGCAGAGCAGGGGCCACTCTCCTTGAGAACAGTCAGTTCTCCTAGGCCTCAGTGGACTTATACCTCTTCCCTCCCAAGCCCTGTGGGGCCTTGCGGAGCAAATAGACCTGAGCTGGAGGCCTCACCCCCCAACCCCCACACATCTAAAATGGACCATCCTTCTAGTTGAATTTTATTTATTTTTTTTACCTCTCTCCCAACAGTCCTTAAGAGGTTTGAGGTCATTGATTTAGCATGTTACTTCGTTGTTCCAAATTAGTAGATGTTCATTTATCTCATACATCAAGTACTCACTGGGCACCTGCTGTGTGTCTGGCAGTTGGACACTGGAACTGTAATAGCGAAAAGGGAGTCTGGACAGGACCCAGACCATCTCACACCGGTAGTGTGAAGGACTCACGCACAGTTCAACTTCTACAGTGGTTTTGAAGTCTTTCTGATCTACCAGGAAACATTTGCGTTTGAAATCATCTTTCTAGTTCTTTAGAAAATGACCTTTACCAAAACCGTACACTGGAAGGTATTTTCTTGATGAGTTATGTTATGTTTGGAAACCCCATCACCTAACTTGTCTCCCTCCCACTGAGATTTTCAAGTCAATAGGTAAAGGGTAACTTTCCTCCCAGCCACTGGTTACGGAGTGAGGGTGGGGTGCAGGTGGGGAGGGCACCCAAGGCTGTGCTTCTGGGGAGGGGGTCGGGCCTGCCCATCCCAAGATGCCCATTGTCAGCACATGGGAGTTAGTCCAGATGAAAAGGAAAGTGTTGGCACCTGACAGATACTCTCTTTAGCCTTAAGGCAGAAATGTCCAGCACATAGCTGTGTGGTCCTTGCTTGGAACCGATGTCACTCTGCTCTCCTCTATTTCTCTTCTGTGTCCTCCTCCGCCGGCCTTCAGACAGCTCCTGAGGGCTCCTTGGCCTCGGCTGACGCCCTCCTCAGCAGGCTGGCTCATCCAGCCTCTCTCTGTGGTGCGCTTGACTATCTGGAACCCGACTTAGCAGAAAAGAACCCCCCAGTATTTGCCCAGAAACTTCAGGTTTGTAGCCCACGTGTGACCTTTTGGGAGTTTGTCAAAACCTCAGTAGAGAATGAACCTCTGAACTCCAAATGCAATGAGGCAGGATTTAATGAAGGGCTGCCGAGAATGTTCCAAATGGAACAGCTTCCCCTCCAAGACCGATGGATGTGGTATGCTTTGCCCAAGACGCCAAAATGATATAAATTGTGTCATTATCTATGAAACAAACCATTTGTATTTCCATTTGGAAATTGGGCCCACACACTCATTTTTCAGAAGTTTTGATAGCCCCCAAAAGCCGTTTCTGTGATTTATTCATGGAACCAAGGGTATTAGATCACCACCGAGCCAAGCTGTTAATATATACAAGGCTATCTCAGACTCCCACGGAGATAACATCTGGATGCAGGTCTTGCCTCTGGAACCAAAACAATTATCAGTATACTCTGTGCTTTAAATTTGACAGCTTAATTTGACATCCTCTAGACTGGGACGTTCAGAGCAAACCTAGAGCGATTGTTAATAATTATTTGAGAAATGCAAATCCACTCGTGGAAAGTGTTGGCCAACTTTACATTAAATGAACGAAAGGAGAGAAATCCGAGGAAAGAGTACACTAAAACTTTTGATCCAATTTTAAAAATCATTTCATATTTGACTGCGTAATACTTCCCGACAGACATTCCAAAGTGTGATTAAAAAAAAAAAGAAAAAGGAAATTAAACACTTATTTCATGCTCTGCTGAGGTGTTCATTGTGAAAAAAAAAAGCCAGAGCGTGTGTTTTCCCAAGTACCTGTCATGACACATTCACGTGGCACATTCGTTTCTTGGGTGTGGAGAGCATTTCCGTCCTGTCTCGATGCATTTCCCCTGCGGTTTGCTCATTCGCCACCCCTCCGGCAGGAGGAGCTAGAGTTTGCCATCATGCGGATAGAAGCCCTGAAGCTGGCCAGGCAGATTACCCTGGCTTCCCGTAGCCACCAGGACACCAAGGTACCGGTTTGCCGCTGCCGTGTGCTGCCTCTTGAGAATGTTGTGTGGTCCAGAAGCTTCCTTGCTAACCATGGCCAAGCAGGTGTCTGACAATGTCTGGTTTTTCAAAAAGCTGAACGCATAACTAGGGCATCAGTACGCACTGAGCACATGTCTAAAACCTGCTTCACTCCATAATGTAGACACCGGCAGGATGGTCAGACTGGTTGAATGGAGGAAAATAACAAGAAACAGATGGGTCAGTGGGGTAAGGAAGCTAGAATAAGATTACAAAGTTAGGTATAAACTGGTTAATACTAGTTAAACAGGACAGATAAGTCATAACCTTTGAGGTTCTTTATTTCTACATACAGAAATCATTTGCTTCTCTATGGGTTAAAAATAATTTGCGACCTTGCTGTTTTCTACAAGTTAATGTCTAGTTGCAGTGAGCCTGGACCCTAGTCAGTAGTAAACAGGTGGAAACAAGACCTTCCTGAGATGTGCGATGACCCTTAGGCCAGGGTCAAAAGGATGACAGAGAAGCAGTCCTTTTCTGGAAAAGAAGAGGGTCAATATTTTAGACTTTGTGGGCATCTGTCTGATCCCTGTAACAGCTACTCAGCTGTGGCCCCGCGGCTCAGACAAAGCAGCAGTGGACAGTAAGTGGATGAGGGGTGTTCCGTGCTCCAGTAAAACCCTTTTTGCAGAGGAGGGCAGCAGGCCATTTGGCCCACGCTCTGAAGTTTGCCAGTCCTTCTGTAGAGTAGAGTGTGACCGTGACAGGACTTGCAGAAGTTGTTTTGCCTGGCTTCCCAGTTTGGAGAAATTTTCCTTAACAGTTTGAATGAGTTGCTGATGATGTGCAACACGGCACGTGGTCCAGGGAGGTTCAGGCCACCCCCAGGGCTGGCAGGTGCACCTGACCTCTGAGGAGCTGCCGCATTCCCTCCCCAGCCCCGAGCTGGCAGCCCAGTGACCCAGGACTGGTCCCCAGTGTGCCCTGTGACCTTGAACCAGTGGATGAGCTTCTCTGAGCCTTGGTTTTTCCATCTGTGATATAAGGCTAATAGTGGTGACTTTGCAGATGGCTGTGAGGACTGTGTGTGACGTGCCTGGCACACAGTAGGTGTGGGGTAAATGAAACTGCTGGTGGCTGACCTTCACTTTGCCTCTGATACCTGGTGAGATGCTCCCAGCATCTCTCCTCAGTTGGCACGTCTAGGTCCCATTTTACAGATGGGGAAGCAGAGTGTTGGAGCCAGCCCAAGGCCTGACCGTGATTGACTGGCCTTCCAGAAAATATCACTTGAATTTCCAACTGGGAGCCCATTGTCTGTCTGTCTCAAATAACAGCTCACTTGGCGGAGGGACCGGTGTTTCCTCCCACCTCTCGTCCTTGGTACAGGATCGGGATTTCATCTACTGCTTCTGCCCCGAGGGCCCCCCACATGTGGTTTTCCTGGAGCCAAACGGAGGTCCCCTTCCAGAGACACCTCTCAGTGGAGAAGGTGGTCACCCTGTGAGCGTCCAGGCTGGGAGTGGGGCCCAGGACAGGGACTCGAACGTAAACACAGGTTACTGATGTCCCTGCTCTTGTGGCCAACCCATCAACTTGAGTTTAATTTCCATGAAAATGAGATTTTTAGAAAGCAGTAAGCAGTGAGGAATTTTTCCCCGTTAGATTTATTTCCTGATATCCTTGGGTTGTGGCTGAAACACAGAATGAATTGCTTGAAATTTGGCCTCTGTAAAATATGGTTTATTCCTACCCAGAAGTTTGGGGCAGAATCGAGCATGTTCTAAGTAGTTCAGATGGAGTATAAAGTGTTGGGGACCCCCTGCTTCCCTGCCTTCTTCCTCCGAGCTCGCGTCAGAGCGGGCCAGTAGTCGACGTCCCGTCAGTTACAGCCTATTCTCAGACCATGTGTCCTGGTTTTGATTTAGAAAATACTGTCAGGTGAATCTGCTAAGTGTGGTTCAGAGAGGCAGCCCCTGCTCCCTCCTTATGTATTCCGGAGGGGCGTGCTGAAAGAAAGATTCCACAGGGGTGGAAGCGTCATGAAGTGTGAGGAACATTCTTCTCTGCCATGGGAACTTGTACGGCTCTTATGAGAAGTATATTATCTAGTGACCTTGGCCCATGGAAGGCAGATGCTGGCCCCTGTAGCCCGCCAGCCCTAGGGTGATCCGTTTACCTGAACCCGATTAGGTTCCTGTGGGTTTCTTGTCTGTGAGATGCTTGATTGCCCCTCAGTGCTTTGGAAACCGCTGATGTACAGAAAGAAAACAGCAGCTGTGTATCCAATTCGCTCTTTTTTCCTGCCCGTATATTTCAGGTGCAGGTGACGTGGCCGCTCTTTTTGGCAGCACGATCTTAAACTGTTGCTAACACCAAATGAAATCACTTGGAATGAAAAAAAAAAAAAAGAAGAACAACTCATACTGAGGGATGAAAAGCATCATGAAATATGATGGGGGTGATTTCTGGTCGCCCCTTCGAGCAGCTTCGGTTTTATTTCCGTGTCGACTGAGGGCCAGCGGAGGCAACCTTTGGGGGCTGCAGTGCGGTTTCCTCCCTCTTTAGCCAGAAGATGTTAGAAATGAGGGAAACCCCGCGGGGCCTGGGGTGTCAGACTCCTTACTGCTTTCCCTCCACATGCTTCTGGCAGAACTGAACGCGGCTGTGTCCTCCTGGGGGTAGGTCTGACCAGGTCTCTGGCTGTGTGGTACATAGCTCTGAATTAACCACTAAACCAGGATGGCTGGAACCTAAGCGGCCCGTCTGTCTGGCTTTCCAAGGGCTGCAGGGAGCAGGGATTGATTTAATTTGTGTGTATAACAAATCCTGGTTGTGGTGGCTAAAGCCGTTGGCTTTGCTGGGTGAGGGGGACCTTATATAAAGAATGAGGGATGTGTCTGAGTAACTTAGTAACAAGGATCACACAAGTGGAAGCTTCAGGACCAGAGGAAGTCCGAGAAAAGGCTCCCCTGGGAGGGAAAGGGTGTTCATCCTCCGTGTCTGAGTGCTCCAGGTTCCCAGCCTATTAAGGCAGACGCCCAGTTGTTTCAGCATCAGTGGGAGGAGTAGGTCTGGGGCAGCCTGTGTGGTCGGTGGGTGGCCTGACATCAGAGGCTCCTCTTATGTTGTGTCCAGAAACCACCCACTCCCTGACATTTGACCCCAGGATGCCTGAAAGCCACAAGAACAGTCTGAAAAGAGGTGACCAAGGGCTGGCCGGTGGGTTTCAGCTTATTTGCCAGTTTCAGGAGTTGGTGGTCATCGTCCGCAGCCTGTGTTGAGGACTCAGGCCATGTCTTGGCCCAGTGGGAAGGAGTTGGTGCTGATGGTGCCTTCTGTGGGAGTGGAATAAGGGCGAGCATCAGGGGCTTGCCTCATATTTGCCATCCTGAGCTTGAGACCCGCCCGTTGTCAGATTTGGATGGGGTGGCACCTGGTGGGGCTGCTCTCTGCCTGACCTGGCCCCATGTGGCTCTGACACTCCCCAGGCGTCAAGCCATGTCCACGCTCCATGGCCTTGGCCCCAGCTTACTGTGGTCTCCTCGCCTGATCTCAACTCCTGGACCCCACACCCCTGCACGCCCACTGCTCTCCCACCCGGTTCCTGGGCACAGCCATCCTGCTTGGTTCCCTGACCTGGCTGCTTCCTCTGAGGCTTGGCATCGGGGTTGCCCCAAGGAGGACTGTGAGCCTGGATGAGTGCCAAGACCCCCCAGCCCCTGACTGCAAGGCCAGGAGGACCCTGGGCATGAGGTTGGCAGGCTGACCTGGGTGACAGTGCCCAGGAGACTCCGCAGGGACCAAGATTTGGGAGAGTGGATTGAGAAGTTGGAATTTGGTCCCAAAGGCCTATGCTGTCTGAGTCATGGCCATTTCACATTTTAATTTGTGATTTAATTTGTGATTAATTTGTGATTAGCGGTTTCTGGCTCCTCTAAGGTAGCAAGTGGAAGATTATAGGAGGGAAACAAAGCTTAACCTAAGTCTGATCTTAAAGTGTCAGCGAGAGACAATCCTATTCGTTTCAGTTAAAAACAGTTCTTTGTTGTAAGGGAAAACCCGAGTGTGTACCTTGAATTTCATTAACATGCAGATACCCAGGGTAGTAATTCAAATGGATTCTGAAGTCATCGTGTTTCTTTATTGAAAACACCAGGTGGCCAGGCTGACCGGAGCTAGTGAATCACTGTATCTGGGAGTAACCATTTGCATTGACTTAGAAAGTTCATTATTTTGTTTATATTTCATCCCCTTCCTTGTTTTACAGAGGACTTTAGGCAGCTTAAAAGATCACTGGTTCCTGTATTGGTCGTATTTAGTTTCTGCTCAGTATCATAAAGTTAGTGTTAGTTCATTTTCTCTTGCAGTTCAGAGAGCTGGTTTATTTTGGATCAGGATTGAATCTCATTCTGGGAAACCTTTTTGCCAAATCTTAGATCCTCAATTGTTTCATCATCAGAAGGACCAGGATGAGTTAGATGGTATCTAATGTTCTTTCCATTTTGTAATTTTATTCTAATTTTTTTTCAAAGAATATATTATTTTACTTAAGTGATAGGAATAGTTTTTTTTTTTAATCCTCTTCAGAATTTTGTGACATTGAACTTTCTCCGTGAAAATAAATACTGAGTCTTGGTGTCTAGGTATAATTTTCTGTTATTTCCTGAGAAGTTTCCCATTTGGCAAATAGAACCTTGAGAACATTTCAGACAGCAGAGATCAGTCCTACATGGGAGAGGCCCTGCCCAGTGGTCTGGTGGCCCTCTTTCTTCTGAGAGGTCCACCCGCCTGCCCCTGAGGGCCGTTTATCTGTGTTCTGCTCAAATGTCCGGTAAAGGAGGCTTCTTTAGGACCTGAGGCTTGAAAGATCGAGGGATCACATTTGACAGGTGGGCATGTCCCCAGGTTCTGGTCTGTTCCCCTCTGACCAACAGTAGTTATTCCGGCTCCACTGGAGAGAGAGCCCAGGTACCTAAGGCCAGGCAGGGGCAGTGAAACCCACACAGCAGATGCTCCCTTCTGGGACCACCTAACCCACTTAGTTCGTCGTGCATGTGTACAACTAACCGGTCCTAACTCGGGAACCTCCAGTCCTATCCATTAAACTTCCACCGGCGTTTTCCAAGCTGTCGCAAGTTCCTTCTTTCTGAGGCTGCGGTTGGGTGAGCGTGCCTGTTCCTGTGACTGAAGGGAGAGGTGCTGCTCAAGTAGCTTCGGGTGTGCCCCCTTCCCAGTTACTGCTGGTTCTTTAATCTCATCTGCTTCCATTTACAAGATCACTTCTTTCCCCGGATCTCTGTCTCTCCCTTTCTTCTACGCTGTGGTGTTCTGTTCATTGCTCCATTTCTTCCCGCAAATTTCCGAGGAAGAAGCAGTTGCCCTCTGCCTGTGAGAACACTGTTACTTCACATCGACTTGGACTCTTAGGAACCAGGCTGGAGGTTTGCCTTGGCAACCATGACGGGCCGGGAGGTTAATGAATAGGACTGGGAGCGTGATTGGTTTGGCGTTTCTTCTGCAGTAGAACTAGACTGACAACCCCGCTGCGCTGGTTCGTGATGCGATGCTCCTAACGCTGCATTTCAAGTGTGTTGGAACTGTCTGAGCGTTTTGTGCGAAGGGGGGCAGAGTAAGACAGCCCTCTCCTCCCTCCCAGGGGGCTGGTGACCGACCAGTGTCAGTTGTGCGGGGCAGGGAATCACACTGTTTGTCAAGGGTCTTGGCAACAAACCAGCAAGCGTGGATACTGTCAGTGATCCGGTTTTCAATTTTCCCATTGACACCATAACTCCAACGTAACTCTTACCTTTTCGCATCCAGAAACCAGCTCGTTGAAGGTGATGTTGGTTGACAACCATGGTAGGCTTTAAGCTCTGTATGAATCATGTCCTTTCAAATGGAGCCCCCTAAATTAAATGTGGACAGTCTCACAGAAACGATCAGATCTGTGGTTATTCAAAACCAGGCAGTTGTAGAGTAGAATTCAACATTGTTCACCGCCAGGCTTTTATTTTGGAAGTGGAGCCTGCTGGAAGATGACCTCGGCTCTCAGGCGCTGTGCCTAACTGCCTCTGCGGTTGATAAATGGCCGTGATAAACGGGCCTCAGACGTGCTGGACTCCAAGGGCTGGGAGTTGGGGAGGCCTCTGCCATTAGCTCCTTTGTCAGCCTGTGCAGGTGCAAAGTGATAGATTTCCATAGATTGTACCCGGCATTTCCCCATTCATTAGTCGTAGCATTTTCTCATACTTTTGATGTTCTTTGTTTCAAAACCATACAACCGACCCATTCATAAGAGATGAATGCAATACTTTTTGTCATATGATTGATGTTAACTTTTTTAAAAATTAAAAACCGTTTCACAGAGAGAAGCTGCTCACCCAACAGATGTCTCCATCTCCAAAACAGCCTTGTACTCCCGCATCGGGACCGCCGAGGTGGAGAAGCCCGCAGGCCTTCTGTTCCAGCAGCCTGACCTGGACTCTGCGCTCCAGATCACCAGGGCGGAGGTAGTGTGTGGCTCGGAGAAGGCAAGGCCAGCTCTGGGTGCCCTGGGAGAAGCTCCAGGTTCTGCCACTTGCAAATAAATACGTGTACCCACGGCCCACAAAGCCAGCATCTTTGAACACAGACTTTCTCCTCTGATCCCTGCAGGCAGAGATGGGTGGCAGACTGTGGGTTTTTCTCTTCTTGGACACTATTGTTTAATGAGCCTTTATGGTCTTGTTTGATTTATAACAAAAAAGCACCCTTCTTTTAGTCGCTGTCTGTGGGCACTGTGAAGTCTGGTGTTTGACTTATTTCTGTCTCAGGCTCGGGGAAGTTCTCTAAATACAATTATTGTTTGGTGTAGCAAGTTTTAATTCTGTATTTATTCAGTGTCTCCTTGTCTTGGTCTGTGAATTGCTTAGGTCTGAGTTCACTGGAGCTAACTCCTTCTTCTCCCTGATACTAGATCTTAACGAAGGAGAGAGAGGTCTCAGAGTGGAAAGAGAAATATGAAGAAAGCAGGCGGGAAGTGATGGAAATGAGGTCAGTTGTGAGCTTGGGCTTCCTGGTACCTGGGAGATGCCTACCTGTGGCACGATGACACCTGGAGCTGGGGTGGCCCGTGAACAGTGTCCGCTCTAGAAGTCATCCTTTATTCCACAAAAGTCATATGTTCATAAAAGTATTCTTTGTGTATTGCCATTATTAAAATATCCTGTGCATGGGTAAATAGTGCCATCATATGTACAATGAAACCCAAACCTTCCCACTCAGCCTCTGCTCCCACACCCCTCAGGTAACTGCTCTGCACCGTTTCTGTCTCCTCCCAAGAATCTTCCATTTCTGATCGCAAAAGCAGAGCCTGGAAACATACGTTCTCCTACATTCTCTTTTAACTGAGCATAATTTGGACAGACTGGTAGCCATCTTGACCTTATTTTCAACAGGTGCTTGCCGGTCCTTGTAAGGTTCTGAAATAATTTCACCAGTCTCAATGGATAAACTTTTAGGTTGTCTCCCAAATTTCACAAATGAATGATGGATTTTCATTTGCTGCATATTGTAATAGAAACATAACGGCTCCCACACGTTCATGCCCGCCATGTGCCAAGCGCTGTGTTTTTGGCTAGAGACACACGGCCTGTTTCACCCCATAGCCCTCAAGAGAGGATGGTCAGCCCTGCTTGACCGTGGAAGGCTCAGAGAGATTCGGTGACTTGTCAGAGGCCTGGAACTTCTAGTTACAAGAACAGGAATTTGAATCCTTCCACCTTTCTGACTGCATAACCCAAACTTCCCACCGTACTCAGCGGCCTGCTTCTCCCCCTCTCACTTTTAATGTGCCTTTTCCCCTTGATTTCTTCTCTCAATTTATCATCATCTTAGAAACTAAGAAACCATCTCTGAGACTAGAACTTACCCCTGGAGTGAGACTTTAAAAGCTATCTTGCAAGTGGCGTTTTTAAAGCAGCTTTGGCTCAAACCTCTGCTCTGACTGTCCTGGGTTAGTCCTGTCCAGGTTCTGGATGCTTCCAGGTCTGAGAACTGCAGGGCGGGTGGGAATGGGGTGGGGGTCATAGTTCATTTCCATACACCTGTCTTTCTGCAGCTCACACAAGAAAAGAAGTGGATTTGAGTACAATCATTTTAACAAGACAGAAAGTCTGGCACTGTGCTAAAAATACTCAGTAGGCTTCATTTTTTTAAGTCTCATGGTTTGGGAGTAAGAGGATGGATGCATTCTAAAAAAACTGGTCGAAGAATTAGTGCATTTATAGTGCACTTCACTGCAGTAGCAGTTGCTAGTTAATTATCAAAATTGTGGTCCTGGCTACCATTTTAAGTAACAAGCAAATCATTTAGATAATCCTATTCCCTGTTTTCTAGGTCAAATAATATCTTCCCCCAAATTCTCCAGCTAGTTCCTTGTTTCCGCTGATGCTTTTTGTGACCGCTTCCAGAGGTTAACCTTAATGTTGTTTCACATTCAAACTGAGTCCCTGTCATTGTGTTATTTTAAAATCTCTTTCTTTTATCTTTGTTTGTTTGATCGGGGAGTGGGAGAGGGAACTGGGTGGCTTTAGTTTTTTTTACCAGCACTGAAGTTGAAGGCGGGACATACAGGGAGTCTGGAAGTTCTGTCTCTGGCTTCTTTTGTACCACTGGGGGCTCCAGGGAGTGCGGGTTGCTAACTGGGACCGTGGGATTTCAGGTGTCACCACCTGGCACAGCTGCACTGGTTTTTGGTGGCCCAGATGTCAGCCCTGTCAGTCTCTGGAGCCAGACCAAGTGCAAGTCAGGCACTGCTTCTGAGCCTGTTACATAACGCTATGCCTAGCTTTTCTCATCTGTAAAATGGAGGTACATCACCGCTCCTCGAGGCCGTGGAGCATCAGTCTCCAGAGTTCGATGCCTGGGTTTGAATCCCAGCTCTGCCACCTTGTAGCCCTGGGATCCTGGAAAGATTCAAGTGACTGAGAAGTGGCTCCTTGGCCTTGAGGAACTTCCACTCAAGTACTATGATACATGTTTTGGAATAAGATTTAGACAAAGTGTTATGCAGCTCCAAGGATAAATCAGGGAAGGCTTCCTGGAGGAGCTAGCGTTTGAATTGGACCTTGAGAAACAGATAGGCTGTGACAAGTGGAAATAGAGAGGGGAATTGAACAACATGGGCAAGGCCATAGAGGTGAGAAAGCTCAGAGCAGACAAGAAATCATTTGTTCTCATTGAACCAGTGTGTTCACAAGATGGCCTGGAAGAAGGTAAGGTTAATGAGGAAAATCAGACCCAGGTAGCAGAAGGCTTCATTTGATCGTCAGACTGGGGGTTTGGCCTTATTTTTTTTTTTTCTCAGTGGGCAGTGGGGAGAGGTAGAAGGTTTTGTGCAAGGGAGTGATGTGTTCAGAGTCTTGCAGCAGGAAAATGAACCTATTTGGGTGTGCAAGGAGGGGGCTGAGATTGGAGGTGACTCTAGAAGTGTGAGCCACCTGTGACATGTACCACTTGTCCTCTTGGACAACGGTCAGGCTGGTGACCAGCACGTGGGCCCCTGCATGAAATTAAAAACCATTCTGTTGTCATAGTTCCAACCTGTCTTCACTTCTCTTGCAGGAAAATAGTGGCCGAGTATGAGAAGACCATCGCTCAGATGATAGGTGAGTGGCCCCACTGGCGGGGCTGAGGTTTCCAGACTCGGGGAGGGCTTTGAAGGTAGCAGCTCAGAGTATGTTCCTCTCAAGCTCCTCTTGGATCATGAAGCCTTTCAGGGAGGGACCAGAGCATCCCAGAACGTGACTTTGGCTCAGAGCAATGGGTCTGGGGACCTCCTGGAAACACCTGCTAGGAGGTCCGTTAGCATGAATCATTCATGCCTATGGGAAGCCATGGCCGTCATCTTGATGGCCACCATTTGACCCAGCCAGGATTGCCCACCTCCAGGGGAAAGAGATTTGGGTTGATTCGTAGGATATCTGGGGGCTTTTTTGCTCATGGGAGAGACTAAGGATCGAATCTCTAAACCCTAGTTTAGTTTAGACACAAGTGAAAAAATACCCCTTCAGCCCTTACGCAGGGTCTAGGGACAAGGATCGTAGGACATGTGACAGTCCAGCTGCCCGCCCCCTGTTAACCGATCACAACACTCTTTCTCGCTGAGGTTGGACACTGCCTCACAACCCATCTTCACACAGCATCCCGGCAGCCAGTACTTCAGGTTACTCTGGCCTACAATAAAAGAAGGCCTCAAGTTACAAGTGATACACACTTGGGTCTTTAAAAAAAATAAAAATAATGAGAAAAGACCTCACGGAAGTTCCAAGCGCAAGTGTTTTCACTAATGATCACTCTTCAAAAATAACGTTACGACTCTGGGCAGGGGCTGTGGGTGAAATTTTTATCTGTCTATACATGCATTTGCTTAGGCCCATGATACCAGGTTTTTAAAAAAATCTTTTATTCTTAAGGACATGTGGAGTAAAAACCCAGCTCACTGCGGACCACAGTTTCTATGTCCAAGCCTGATGGTGTGTTAGCAGTTGACCCCTCGTCTTCGGAAGCGTGTGGCTATGAGTCTCACCACATCTCTAGCTTTTGTCCCAAGATAAATATGACAACATCCTTGGAGACAGTGGAGATGCTGACAGTTCAGTGCTTTCCATTCAAAAAAGCTTTCATTTTGGTTTATGATAATAAAGGCTGCTTCTCCCAGATTCGGGGGAAGCCGGTCGGGTGTTTCTGAGGAAAAGCCTCACGGTGTATTCTTTCTATCAAGTGAAGCCTCTTTGTTCAATTGGTATAAGAGTTTATGCGTACATATGGATGAGATGAAAAACAAAACTCTTGGAACTGAAACTGCTGGTGAAAGTCATCAGGATGAAGGATTTATATCCTCCAATACAGAGAGTTTGACAGGCTGAGCGCAACCTTTCAGCCTCCTGCAGTCTTGGGACGTGAAAGCATCACTCAGACCCATGTGGCTCGTTTGGAAACATCCTTCTGTGTCTCAGAGTCATGCATTTTTATCTTTACTCTTGCTGGTGATGTTTAGACCAGTGTTGAAAAGGATGTGCGCCTTTGCCCCCGACAGAAGGCTGCCCAGAACCACCGTATTTCATTGCTCAGCTGGCAGTTTTGACAGAAGCAGACGTTCCCTCTTGAAAACAGACAGAATCAGACTCTCTAGCTGACCTAAGTGGCCTGTCCTCCTGGTGACAGAAAGATCATTTGACTCCAATGCAGGAGACAGGAGTTAGAATAATATTTTCAGTTCTAGACAATCTGAGGGGTGTGTGGAACCCTGACCCCAGGGATTATGGCCACATGCCCCCCCCTTTCCCTGCCCCCCTCCCCCACTAAAAGACCTGGCACGTTTGGCCTGAGGGTCCCTCTTTTCAGGAACTGTGAAATCACCCCCTTTGAGCAGTTTCCTGTTTGGGTGTGTTTGGGCACTCTCCGGGTGGCTCTGAGACACCCCAGCATCTCTGGCAGGAAGCAGCACTGTCACTCGAAGTGGTGCCCCACTGTGTGTCTGTTCTTTGCCCCCCTCCCCATGACTCACTGTCCTCTTCGTCACCCGCTTTGCCAGAGCTGTCTCATTCAAGAGGTGGCATGTCTGTGAGTGTCATCCATCAATCACTATTGCAAGTCACCGGTTAGGGCCACCATCGATTTCAAGGTCCTTGTGTCTGGGGCTCCCTGGAGCTGTGGGTGGGACCTTCCTTCTTTCTGGACAAGAAACACACCCATGTGTCTCATCTGGACTCCGCATTTTCCTTCTCATTTCCACTCACCTACCCAGCATTCCTCATGGAAGGGGAAACTCAGACCCAGAGAGCTTGGCAGTTCAGGGTCCTGAGTGACTGTAATCGCATTTTAAAGTGAAAACCAGTTTCCACCCCACCTCCCCCAGCCCTCCTGGCTCCAACCTGGCTCTCTTGACTTCCGCGTAACCCTCACAGATGCTCCGTGTCCCTTGCGACATCTGTCCTGCATCCTTGTGCATTCCCGTCGCATGTTACAGAAGAGAATGTTTCCTTCAGTTCAGATATCAGCTATTTAGAATTCAGAACAAAAAGGGATTTCTGTGCTTTCTGCATTCCAGGTTGCTGCGATTGATTTTTTTTTTTTTTCTGCTTTCCTAACAACTGCCCTGATTATCTGTTCTGCTTCCATTTTCTGTTGCTTCTTGCCCTTTGCTTGCAAAACAAACAGGCAAGCCTGGTAAGTAAACGCTTTTTTCACCTAATTTGACACCTGCCCATCGCAACCCTTATTTGTTTATTTGTTCTTCTATTTCTGTTACTTTTGCTTTTGTGTATTGGCTGCGTTCCCCACATGATTCAATAAGTGTTTTGCCTGAAAAAGCCAGAAAATCTCCAGGGGCATTGTTTTATTGTTGGCATCTCGAGTGTCTTGGGTTTGGGGCTGATTTCCTCGGTTTGGAGAACCTACCAGCATTTGTAATTTACAAAAACATGTGTGAAGCATTCTCACCGCCTAAGTCTCCCGGGGTCTGGGAGATTCTGTTTTTACAAGGGTTAGGGGGGGAGGAAAGGAAGCCTGAGGCAGCCTGAGTCTCAGATCCAGGAAATCAGATGGACTCCGTTTGATAAATGGCCCCTTTCCCGAGCCAAGTGAAATGTATACATGGCCCCAAACCAGCCCAGAACGCGCATTGTACAGCTTGCTGAGAACTAAGGAAGCAGCTAAAATTCAAAGAGTGAAAACAAGCATTTGGTTACTAGTGAAACTTTGAAACGCCCTTTCTTTTAGGAGTCTAGATGCAGGAAGCAGATTGCTGGCGGTTCTGTTCTTGCTATGTGTTAAAAAGCTCCCCCTTCGCGGGTACTGTGACTTGACATCATACCAGTTCAGGGAAGGCAGTGGTGCTGCTGATACTGGGTTCTTACTCTATGTCAAGGGCTTTATATTTAATCTTCCCCAAAATGCCATGATGCCCTGTTTCAGGTGAGGAGGCTGACACTCACAGAGCCTCAAAGCTCTGCCCAAGGTCACACAGGTGGGAAGTACCCGACCCAGGACTGGAACCTGGGCTGTCAGACTCTGGCCCCCAGGTCCTCACCTCCGCTCTGGGCGCGGGAGCTCTGAGAGGCAGGTTTGGAGGACGAGCATCTTCTGGGCCTGTGGTCCTCCATACGTGGTCCCTGGACCAGCTGCCTCAGCATCACTGGGGAGCTTGTCACAGATGCAGATCCTCAGCCCTGACCCCAGACAGACTGAATCAGACCTCACGGGGTGAGCACAGCCATCTGTGTGTTTGGACAAGCCCCCCGCTAGTCGGGATCTGCATTCATGTGAGAGAAGCCCCTCATTTTGGAAGGAGGCCCTGGGACCGCAAGTGAGGACTTTTAAGCCAGTTCATGTCCGGGCTGGAGATGTTTATGTCAGGCTGTGGCCCCCGTTCTCTGCTCTCCCCTCCATTCAAGAATGTGCCTGACATCGGGATACAGGAGGAGGCCAGCCTATCAGGAATCTAGAGGAAAAGAGCCCAAAGCAACATCTTCCCCACTTTTAAGGGAGCTACGTCCTTCCAGGTCCATTTTTAGGAGGCCCACGTGGAAATGCGGTTATGAGCACAGCCTTGAGTGTGGGCCTGGCTCTGCTGCTTCCTCAGTGCACAAAGGGACTTGGCCTGTCCTGGGAAGGGAGATTAGGAATCCGCCTCTGGGCTTTGCCAATTCATTCATTGCATGGTATGTGAGGTGCCCTGTGAGTCAGGCTCGGTCCTGGGCCTGGGATGGAGCAGGGGACAAGAAAGAGACTCAGGGCCCTGCCCTCACGGAGTGTGTGTTCTCTACACACACGTCTGATGTAATGATACGGAGTGGCCACTGCTGGGGAGGGAAATGAAGGACTGGAGACTGGACACGAGGCATTTCCCACATGGGCTCAGACAAGGCGCCCCTGAGTGAGGGGGGAGCCGGGGAGGCTCTGGGGCGGGCATTCCCCCGCAGAGGCACCAGGGCTGAGGGGGCCGCTGTGGCCGAAGCAGGGGGGCAGGGAGTGAGCATGTAGGGCAGGAGTTTGGATTTTATTCAAATGCAGAGGGAGGCCCCAGTGGGGGCAGTGGGAGGGGGTTGGCTCCAAGCAGGATGGGTGACTGGTTTGGACTTCTGGACGCTCAGCTTGGCTGCTGGGTGCTGGCTTAGGAGCATCGAATGAAGAGGAGAGTCAGCCCGGCTCCTGACAAGTGAGGAGCCCAGGGTGCACTGCGGCCGCTGCTCTCACCAACGGCTCTGCCGCCGTTCACAGCTGCCCTCCATCCTCCAGTGCACGCAGCCCCTCCCAGGTGACCAAGGGGTTGAGGAAGGACAGGAGCTCCAAGCTGGGGTTTCTCTCTCCACACTCTCTGCTGTCAGCAAAGTTCCAGACAGATCAGAACAAGTGGTTCCTTGCCCACCCAGACCAATGATAGGTTAGCGTGCAGAGCGTATGGAGCGCTCTGCTGCTGAGGGGCTTTTCTGTGGAGTGGTCCCAGAAGCCTTTCCCATCAAAATGAGGTGGTTTTCAAGGTACCCAGGGCATATCAGCTTGCAGTGGCCTGGAGAGGGGGGTCAGGGACAGAGCAGTCCCTTTCACCAGAGTCAGCCATGCTGAACTAGGCCAGAATTTAATTCTTTTGTACGTAACTGAGACACTCAAGATAGCTGCATTTTCCTGGGACTTAAGACATCTGCTGTATCAAAGGAAATGTCCTTTTTTTGTGTGGAGCAGAATTTCAGGGCGACGCTTCTGTGGACTTTGGGCTCGTGGGATGTTTTAAGGATGAAGAAACCTTTTTCCTTTTCAGTGACCATATCTTTAGCTTGATAGCACTCAGGAAGGCCAGTCCCTCACAACTCAATGTACACCACCCTTCAGTCTTGCCCAACACAAAATTCAGTAGTGATGTTTTCTTTCTTACCTTACGGATGGGTCTGTGTGCTGTCAACAACCATATAGAACCACCAGTGTCTCCAGTGTAGATGTTTAAGGGGCTGCACTGGTCAAGTTGAAGAAGAATGGCTAATTTCCATCCCATCTAGTACTGCACAGGCCCAGGCCTGGGATGTTAAGGCTGTGGGTTTTGTTCCTTTAGAGGCAGAGACTTGGAGGGCGGGGCTCGGGGGAGTGGGTCTGTCCCATCAAGAACCCAAGGTCTGAGATGGTCCACTGGTCAGGCTGGGTTGCATCTGAGGCCTCGGCCGGCCCTTGAGACCGGGTCCAGATCCCATGGGCCCCATCTATTTGTCCCTTGTATCTCCTGCCAGAGGACGAACAGAGGGAGAAGTCAGTCTCCCACCAAACGGTCCAGCAGCTGGTCCTGGAGAAGGAACAAGCCCTGGCCGACCTGAACTCAGTGGAGAAATCTCTGGCTGATCTCTTCAGGAGATACGAGAAGATGAAAGAGGTCCTGGAGGGCTTCCGCAAGGTGTGTTCGTGTTTGGGGGCAGAGCGGGAGGGATGCATGTGGTGGGGGGAGGTGGAGCAGCTTGGGAGAGATCGTGGCGCGTTCTGGAAGGCCGTCCTCGCAGGCTGGGGGGTTGGACTTGGCTATCCGGGGTTATGCCCACATCCGCGAGTTCTTGGGGTTCCCAACACGCCTCAGCATTTCTTCTGTGGGCACGACCCCTGTGCTCTGTCATATCAGAATGAAGAGGTGCTGAAGAAGTGTGCACAGGAGTACCTGTCCCGGGTAAAGAAGGAGGAGCAGAGGTACCAGGCACTGAAGGTGCATGCGGAGGAGAAGCTGGACAGGTAATGCCACCTGGGGCTGGGGCTGCTCCCAAGGGCCCCTCAGCAGCCCCGGCCGAGGCAGGCCGGGAGCTCCTTGGCACCCCTGCATCGGCTTGGGCAGGGCGGGTAATCCATGTGCGTTTTTCAATATAAGTGTTCACTCTTGGCTGAGCATCCGTTGTGATAAGTGAGGGATGCATGTCGTAATTTCCCAGGTACCCGCTTGGAGCATCTCAGCATCATGGGGTGGGGAGGATGGGGGTTGGTGAAGGGGTTCTCATGGCTCCTATGCTCAGGCTCCCATTGGAGGGAGCTGGAGCCAGACAGTTGGTTGCCCTTGCCCAGAGCTGGGAGGAGGAAGACGAGAGGCATCTACGGGAAGTGTGATCCTTTCTGAACCCCATTCCCCCCAACCCGTTCCTGCAGGGCCAACGCCGAGATCGCCCAGGTCCGGGGCAAGGCCCAGCAGGAGCAGGCTGCCTACCAGGCCAGCCTGCGGAAGGAGCAGCTGCGCGTGGATGCTCTGGAAAGGACCCTGGAACAGAAGGTAACAGGCCGAGGCGGCTGCCTCCAGGCGGGTGGTGCTGGCCAGGTGCTCGGACACATAGAGGCTGGGCTTCCCCCCGCCGACGGCAGCTCTGGGCAGCCCGCACATCAGGGCACACCCCGGACTAGTTCATGCTTCCCTCGCTCTCCCTCTGAAAGATCCAGGTTAATGCCAGCACTGAGTCTGGCCTCCTTTCTGCCTTCCCCGGAATTGCTGCCTGCTTGGGTGTTTATTGCCATTTTTCATTCCTTTTCAACATTCATTCATCAAATATTTACTCAGTGTGCCAAGCATAGTACTTTTAACTCCTGCCTCCAGCAAGCTTACTGGTGAGTGGATGGTACCCACCAGGCGATCCCTTCTCTCCCCCACCGCCCCCCAGGCAAAGGCAAGTGGCTGGTGCAGCATGTGGGCAGCATCAGGGTCAGAAGGGCCCCCAGATGTCCTCTTTTGTCCATGGCTCAGGGATCCTTCAGAGGCCCCTCAGCTTATCCCCAGGTTTCCTGATTTCCAATCAAGTGCTTGGACCACCTTACGCACTGTCCCCCAGTGTGTCCAGAAGAGAAGCCCCTTCCACCCAGGCGTGCTGAGTGAGTGAGTGTGCGCCAGGCAGTCCTCCTCCCTGGCTGTGTTTCCACACATGCAGCCCCACTCTGCTTGGTTTACTGAGTGTTAGGATTCCCCAAGGTGGTCATCAGAGAGCCCAGTGACCGAGGGCATGCATTGGTGTCCTGATGGGCAGGCACTGGGGGGGGTACTTTATATGCAGGTGGCATCAGGAGTCCAGTGTGTCTCCTCAATGCCCTCTGCTCCTCTAGAAGCCCCCAACCCTGCAGCACGGGGTTCCCAGGGGTGGTCAGGGCCAAGCAGTACTAACCTCTGCAGTGGGTAGGGCCACCTCTCATGTCACTACATGGTGTCAGGGAAGGAGCCCAGGACCCAGGAGACTCAGGTCCCCACCCCTCCCTGCCATCCATCCTGGCCCTTGGCAGCCCTCACACTTCACCTCGGTTTCTAGGTTTGCAATGTTGCAGGACTAAACCAGAAGATCTCAAAGGTTCCCTTTGCCCTGAGAATTACATGCCTCTAGTAGTCAAATGAATTTCCCTGAGGTTCACGTCTGATCACAACGTGGCCTCCACTGGGCGCCCTGTCCCACAGTCTGTTCCTGGTTATCCAGAATGCAAGCAACTAGAAAACTCACATTACCAGATCATTATTTTCACTCATTGCCATTTCCCCTTGGGATGAGAAGGACAAGTGGCCTCCAGACAGTTTAATATTAGAATTGTATTTTTAAAAAACAGAAAAGAACGAGAAAGAGAGAGCACGAAAAGGCAACTCCAGACATGTTCAACCACCTCTGTTTTCCAGACTCTGATCGTGGTTCTGAGCAGTAACCATGGGGACAGGCGGGATGGTCAGAACCCCTACATGCAAGCGTTTGCTCACTCAACCTGTATTTATCGGGCATGCCTGCCATTTTAATGTTGAGTGGGTGTTTGTTTTTCATCTTTGAATGTTGGTAATCCATGGATGGCATATTTGGTGACTCTTGAGAAATGGACTATTCCTTTAAATTAAAGACCTCGTTCCGCAGCCATTTGGGGTAGGAAAGCAGTTGAGTAGCAAGTATTCTAGGTGAGAAATGTAGCATTCGTTTGAGATGGTTCCTTCCTATTTCCATCAGGATATGATGGTGTTTACATGCCTCATGACGTCACTCACAACAGAGCTAAAACCGGAGCCAAGACAGATGATTTCAAGGCACCTGGCCTGTTCAGACTATTAGTTGCAAAATGAAGGTGATGCTCGGTTTTCAGGCAAACTAAAAGGCTAGGAAGAAATCGAGTTGGATTGCAGTTTTAGATAACAGAAAAAATACAAATGTATCTGCAAATGTATTTCTGTCTTAAACGAAAACTCAGGAGGAATGGGTTAGTCACATGAGTTCTTCCCCAAAGAACTTTGATATGGAGGAGACAGTCTCTGTTTGCAAGAGATTTGGAAGCAGGACCTACCAGGATAGCTCTTAGGTGAAGGTGTTGTGCGTTCCGCCCAGTCGGGACTGGATAAAGTGAGCTGGGACTTTTGCCCAGTGAGCTGAGCTCCGTGATGGGGCAGTTTCCTGGGCGGTGGGCTGATGGTGCCAGGATCGAGCTTGGAGAACCTCCAGGAATCCATAGCTCTGAGTCATCAGTCAGTGCACCTTATGTCTATTAAGTAAAGTAGCCAGGCCAACCTGAATTTGTGTCCCAGGTTTGCCACGTCTAGACCAACCGGTGACTTTAAGTACAAGGCTTAGCCTCTCTGAGCCTCAGTTTTCTTACTGAAAAGTGGGGGGATAATGATGGCTTCTATTAAGGGATGGGGAAGAACTGAGTGAGACCGCACAGCATGGGCTGGATTTCGCATGGTGACCAGCACATGGTAAGCATTCCAGTAAGATGAAAAATCACCATTAGCGGCTTCAGCCGCGGCAGTAGTGGCGGTAATAGTAATTTCAGGATTAGTGGTTGGTGCTGCACCCCATGCAGAGCCCCAGCTTCCAACAGCCATTTCAGTGCCTCCAAGAACTGTGACCTCTAGATGGGAGGCAGGCGGAGGTGGGGTTCCAGGCGGGGCTCTCTCCCGGCGGGGCTGGTGGCAGGGCTACAGCAAGGACCGAACTTCTCCTCCACTAGGGAGGCCCGACTCTTCCCAAGTGCTGGCTCCTAGGTGAGTGGCACCTGGAGCCCCGCCCGCAAGCAGGGCTCATGGCTCCGGGCTGGCATGTGTCCAGGGAGACTCCAGGGTTTCCTGGGAAGTGCAGCCTCCGGGAACCGGCTTGTGGTGAAGACTCGCCTTCCATGGGGACCTCGAGGAGCAGCTGGCTGCAGAGCGCTCCCGGGATCCCGGAAAGCCCCGGCCCTCTTGGAGAGGGCCCTTCCAGTTGGCTGTTGAGCCAGATCAGCGCCAGGCTCGGCTTGCAGCCCCTCTGAGAGCACAGCCACTGCTGTCGAGGTGGGGGCGTCGCCCTGTCGGATCCCCGCCCCTGGAGAAGGGACAGTGCTGTCAGATCACTGGTGCGGGACGAACACGTGGTTGGTTCTTGACGGGGCTTCAGCTCGGGCACGGTGTCCCTGAGGAACACCTGAAGCCGTCTTGTGTCTGCCCCTGCCTGCCTCCGCGGCCCGCTGTATCCACAGCACCACCTCGCTTGGCAGCCTCTGAATAATCCTAGGGATCCATTCAAGTAGAACTGCTTAACCCCTCTGGTGGCGTTCACCAAAAAAGCCACCAAAGAGCTCACCCCAGACCATCCTTTCCTGCCACATCCTTGGAGGCACATAAACAGAAGAGAACCAATAGTAGTTAACCAATACTAGTTAAGTCTTTACTGTGTGTTGGTCGCTGTGCTGGGGAACTTTACACTTCCTACCTCATTTTATTCTCAGAGAGAGAGATGTTATCATTCACGCTTTTGAGATAAAGAAATCGAGGCACAGAGAGGTTGCGTAACTTGTCCAAGGTCACACAGCTAGAGCTGGGATGTACGGATTGTTTGGCTCCAAGTCATTTCTCTCGATGCTCTAGATAACTTCAGGGAGACCAAGTGGCCCAGAGGACCCGATGCCCCTAAAAAAACCCAATGACCTTTCTGATTGGCTTGATTTCAAACAACCAGGAGGTTTCAGCAACTTGTTTCTTGTTCTTCACTTACAGAATAAAGAGATAGAAGAACTCACCAAGATTTGTGATGAACTGATTGCCAAAATGGGGAAAAGCTAACTTTGAACCAAATGTTTGGACTTGAGCGTTGCGTGCAATATGGCCGTCGGCACACTGCTGTCCCTCCGGTTGTGTGGGCAGGTTCTGTTTTCACTTTTTCGTATGCACTACTGTATTTCCTTTCTAAATAAAGTTGATTTGATTGTATGCAGTACTAAGGAGACTATCAGAATTTCTTGCTATTGGTTTGCATTTTCCTAGTATAATTCATAGCAAGTTGACCTCAGAGTTCCTGTATCAGGGAGATTGTCTGGTTCTCTAACAAAAGAAATCGCTGACCTTGGCCTTGCCCTTTGTACATGACTTTCCAGGGTGAGCGGCTTTTGGATTTAATATGATCATGTACAGCTTGCAAAGGGACTCTTGCCTTAAGGAGTGTAAACTTGATCTGCATTTGCTGATTTGTTTTAAAAAAAAAGAAAAGAAAAGAAAATGCATGTTTCAAATAAAATTCTCTATTGTAAATAAATTTTTTTCTTTGGATCTTGGCAACAAGTGTGGCTGTGATTTATTTTCTGGGAAGGGTTGAGTCTTTCTTGCCTTTGTTAAATCATATCAGATTTGGCCTTTCAGTCCTCTCTCTGGGCTCATTTTTTTTGTTGTTCACAGACTTAAATAACATTTCCTTCGTTATCATGGCTGTGTTTGTAAGATGAAGCAATGGAGAAATACTGACTTGCTACTTAAATAATTAAGTGAGTGTATTGAGTTAGCTTAGGTTTTGTTTTTACAAATTCTCTTTGACTTCAGGGGGCAAAAATCTACTTCCCTTATTGGCTCAAGGACGTAGCAGGCTGTCTTCCTGTTCACTGCTGTAGTCTGTGCAGATCAACCCTGAAATGCTGTCCATTCCTCTGTACAGGAATAAGGAAAGGTGAACAGTTACCAGGGGGTGACACGTAATTAGCACACTTCGGAGATTAAACGTTAGATTCCTAATTGCTCCTGACTTTCTTAGGGACCAGGTTGAAGAGTGAGTGTATGGGGGCATTGACGGGGTGGGAAGGGGGTCCCAGTTTCCCAGGATGGCTGGAACTAATCACCACAAACTTAGCAGCTTAAACAACAGAACTATATCCTCTCACAGTTCTGGGGCCCGGAAGTCCAAAATCAATGTGTAGGTGGGGTTTGTACCCTCTGGAGTCTCTGAGAGTCTCTTCCATTCCCCTCCCAGCGCCTGGCCATGGCTGGCAATCCTTAAGATTCCCTGGTTTGTAGTTGCATTACTCCAGTCTCAGCCTCGATCTTCACGTGGACTTTTCTTCTTCTGTCTCAAGTCTCCCTCTCCTTTCTTTTATAAGGACACCACTCATTGGATTTGGGGTGCACCCAATAAATCCGGGATGGTCTCATCTCAAGATTCTCAGTCCCATCTGCAAGGACCGTATTTCTGAATAAGGTCACATTCACAGGTTGTGGCAATTAGGATGTGGACATATCTTTTGGGGAGGACACTGGTTTGGGGTATCGGCCTGGAAAGCAGACCCCAGTCCCTTGATGCCCCTCTTCCTGCCCAGGCACAGAGGCTGTGCGCTGTTCCCTCACACAGAGCCACCTCCACCCCCAGCAGGGCAGGGCCTGGGCGGCCTCAGCGGTGGGGGAACAGAGCCAGGTGGGAGGGTCTCTTCCGTAACTTACAAGGTGGGTGAAGCTCAGCTGAACCAGGCAACCCAAGGAGAGAAAGACACAGCCTGCCTTTGTGGGAGGGAGCCCAGCCCTCCTCACCGGGCACCAGAAGGGGACTCTAACGGACAGGGCTCTACCTCCTCCCTCTGTCCAGCAGCCTCTGCTCCATCCCGTCTCCCAGTTACACCTCCCAGGGCTCAGATGTAGCCCTGACCAACATGCTGGCTCATCCAGACTGAACCCCCTCCTCCATCCCCACCACAGATTCTGGCCTCAGCTGCCTTCTCAGAACCATCCCACTCCTATCACTTAAAACACTTTTTTTTTTTTGCTTATTACTTAAGCAAAACATTTCTATTGCTAAAAAAAATCTAGAAATGCAGGTAAGAAAAACTCTCGTAATCCTCAAACCCAGAATTTCTAACTATTAATGTTTTTGCATTTATTTTTCTATACTTTTCTCTCAGTGTATGAAATACTTAATTTTACTGAAGCAGATTATTTGGGGTTATAAGGTGCCACAACAACACAGCCATCTGCAGTCCCCCTGCGTACCATTTTGTAAACCTTTTATTTTTTTTCTTGCATAATACTATAATGTGGCTATCATGTTATGGTAACTTTTATATCAATAAATATAACTGTTTGTCTTCATTTTGAATGGCTGCATGTCTTCCATGGACTCAAAATGTTTTTAACCAACTGATAGACAGTTCTATTGTGTTCAGTGTTTTGCTGTCATTATACACGTATACTACAGTGAGTTTCCTTATGCGCATATGTTTATGAACGTGAGTCTTTCTTTAGGTTAACTTCCTAAAGTTGTGAATGTTGTCACTGTATTCCAGCCAAAGGCTACCATGAACATGTACCTGTGGTTGAAAAAGTCAGGTTTTGTCTAGTCGCAGTGAGGAGAGAAGCCCACCAGGCGGCGCTGTGTGGCACCGCAGTTAAGTGGGTCCTGTACTACGTAGCCTAGGATTTGGACTTGGGTCAGGTGAATCTGGGGAAGGCTTGAGGAGGCAGGGCTTTGCTCAGTATTGGAAGTTGTCAGGGCAGACAGTTCTCAGACTGGGTAATCTTAGCTAGAAGGAGAGAAGGCTGAGCTAAAGCTGTAATTGGTAAAGAAGTAATAGCTTTTCGTATACCTTAGCCAGGATAGAGGGGTATTCGGTCCTCTTTTGGGGTTTAGATAATGTTCGTATTCTGTCCGTGTTCAGATGTGATTGCAGAGCAGTCTTGTTTTTTTTTTTCTTGATTTCATCACAGCATGGCTAATCTGACACTGATGCTCTGTGAAATTGTGTTCAACAGAAGAACAGCAAGTCCTCGTGGGAGTGCCAGGCAGCTCCCAGATGTCACAGCCACCTTTCTCCTTCTCAAAGTTTATATACGTTTTTAAAGTTTGGGAAGCCCATTCCTAAATAGTCTTCCACTAAGGTTATACTAAAATACAATCCCCCCCCCACATACACACACAACAGACACCCTCAGTATCTATACCCTTTGGGGCATGGGATCTGGCCCCACCCCCAGCTGCTCTCACTGTCTGCCTGTGGACCAGCCTAGGTTGGGATGTACCAGCCCCAGCCAGCCTCAGCCCCGCCCCCCCCGCCCACTTACTAGACCTGCCCATAAGGCCACTGCTGAGTGCCTGGGCTCCGGGACCCCTGTGGATTGAGATCAGCCGTTTTTCTCCTACTGTGTAGAATACCACATACGCTTGCAAATGTTCACCCAGGTGGTGGCTGCTGAGGACGATTTAAATTATTTTGCGTGCTGTGGGAGTGCAAGGCGCAGGAGAAGCCAGCACCTGACGTCCTGGGAGCCGCGTTCTAACCTTCGAGATCTCAGCATCTCTTAGAACTTGAGTTTGCCAAGTCAGCTGACATCTTGAGCTTCTAGCATCATTTTTCTTTTCAGTTCAGCATTTCTTCCGGAATTCTCAAGTTATAGGCGGCTTTACTGGGAACAAAGATTACCTTGTGAGGGCAGGGTTGGGGGCGGGGAGTGAAGAGAGAGAAAAGAGGGAGGTGGTCACTGGTGATGGGGGGTTTCCGGGGGTTCAGCCTCTTAGATTTGAGATCTGAGGGGCCCGAGGCCATGCCAGGGAGCAACCCCCGGAAACACCTCCCCGTTTCCAGGCTCCTGACTCCGGGAGAGAGAAGCCATCAGTGCTCTGGATGGGACAGATGGAGGAGGTGACAGGGCCAGAGTGAGGGCTGCCTGGCTCCCTGATCGGCTCGTTTCACTTAATCCTTGGTCCTGATGCGATGTTGAAGTTTCTTAGCAAAGCCTCTGTGCTTTCCAGGACATTCCACTTGAAAAATTGAACAGGGCGGGCGGGTGTTCCGATGGGGGCGGAGTGGAGGTGTGCGCATGCGCAGGGCATGTTGGCTGGAGGAAGGGCGCTTACGCGTGAGCACGCGCGGGGGCGCCCTCGGGGTAAACAACCTGTAGCTCATTTTCTCTTTGAAATAATAGAGTGAACTGTTTTTATTTTCATTTTACAAGAAGGAAAAAGAGGCTCCGAGAGGTTAAAAAATCTGGAGATTGGCTGAGTCCCTCAGCCAAGAGACTGGATCCCAGGTCTTCAGTGACTTCAGGGTCCTTCGCATTGCCCAGTCTAACAGGTCTCTTCCCGGATGTCGGAGCAGAAAGTGGTGCGGAGAGAAGGCACAGGGCAGGGAATGCGCCCTGGGCCTGCAGTGGTCCTCTCGTCCATTCTTTAACCCGCCTGATTGGTGGTTCCGCCTTGAGTCTGGGCTGGCTCCACTATTGTTTTTATGAATTATTGAAACCCTGCTCTTTGTTCAATGGATGGGAATGTCAGTGAGGCTGCCCCTGGTGTGCATTACTAGGCTGATGGGCGTGGCTTTGCTTTTCCTGGTCTTTGCATGTTTCCCTCTACAGTCAGTGGACCCCTGGCACCTCCCCCAAGCTGGTGGCACCCAGCCAGGCTTCTGAGTTCCTTGGGCTGGAACAGCAGTGGCAGAATCTGGAGAATGCACGGGTCTGTCCTTTGGATTTGTTAGGAGCTGGGAAAAGCAACTTGGAGACCAAAAAGGGTAGGACCAGACAAAACCCAGACTCCTTGGCCCCTGCAAGCCTTGGGAGATCTGGTCTCTGCTCCCCTTCTGGCCTCCTGGCCTCCATTTGCACCTGTCGTGCTGTCAGACTGCATGCGCATTCTCTACTCCAACCTAGCACATGCTGTTCCCTGTACCAGGGACACTCACTCCTGCCCCATCATCTCTCGGCTAAATCCTACTCCCCACGGGCTCATCCTTGATGTCACTTCCTCCAAGGAATCCTCCCTGAAGCCCCAGGCCTGGGTCAGTGTTTTAAAATGTTGGTCTTAATTATTATTCAGGTAGGGTGAAGCCAATAGATCAGGAGACAATTATCACTGAAAACACAGTTTGTTACTCACAGTTCCCAAGAGGAAGGGAGCAGAGCCATGTGAAGATGCACCAGGGTCGATCAGGAGGCAGAGAGAGAAAGGGGAAAAATGTGGTCTTTGTTGTGGTTCCTGAGGGAAAGGACAGGTGAGGCAGGACAGGCAGGCTTAAGACTGGCTAGTTTGAATCATTTCAGCAGATTTGGGGCATAGGGGCTTTCTATAGTGCTCTGCTACTTGGCCCTGGGGTGGACAGGGCAGGGGACAGTGGCCCTGAGTGTGAGAGGGGATTGGGCTGTGGTCTCTGGATTGGCTGGTTTCCATATGAAGGGCTGACTTGAAGGCGAATCCTTCACTATCTCTAGAAATTGTCCAGCCCCGGGAGGACCTGTCCCTCCAGGGTCAGCAAGGCCCCAAGATGTCACAGCATCAGAACAAGAGGCATGCTTAATACAGTCACTTGCCC